CACTTCCACCCTCCCCATCTCGTGGTTATCTGCAACTCATAGCAGGTACTTTTTCATTCTTTAAATGAGATAGACAAGGAGACCTCCCAGCTGGTGTGAAATGACAGGTAGAAGCAAAGAGTAACTGGCACATGTGATCTCGCCTGCCCTGGTTCACAGTAATTTTGCAAATCGACTGAGATCAGCATTTTCTGAACTCTCTCAGCAAATAACCAAGTGAGAGATAGATGCCCCAGACGTATTTTATTGTGATGGGGGTCAAAATGCTCACAATGAAGCTTGTCTGCATTTGCTAAAGTTCGGTCACACTGGGAGCAAAGCCTTGGGGGCAGTACAGCAAGCACCACAGCTATGATGTAGAATAGAAGATGAGAGGTAGAGGGGTGTGTGTCAAATTTTGGTGTCGCACAGGGTGCCGCTGAAATTTGAGACCCCAAGGTTCATCTCTGCAAGTGCTCAGGCAGCAATCCTATCTCCATTTACTGAAAAAGAAGTCCCATGGAACAAAATGGGGCATGTGCATAGGTGGTTTATTATTTGTGGCTTTCCAAATACTAAAACAAACAAACACACTCAACGTATTTGGCCGGGATTTGACAGACTGGTTTACCTGAGAAGGAAATGATGTTTAGAAGACCAAATCCCAAAGACAGTTTCACATCTGTTGTTTATTAGCCTCGTGTTCACAATCCAAGATTCCAGTCAGAACCATGAAGCATTGCGTGTGAGAGGCTGTAGCTCAGGGTGGAAAACTGGTGAGGCTAAGAGAGACTACTAGATATTTTTTCTCTCTCTCCTCTCTCTCTGCTACACAGGTGAATTTTGTCTTAGTCCACTGTAGGTAAACTTAAGGAAGCAAATGCCGTTGAAATTAATGGCAATTCATTGTATATATCTTAGTGCAAACCACCATAAGGAGGTTCCTGAATTTCCTTCATTTCAAAGCATCCCACTCTTTCTTGCTGGGAGAGCCACTTCAGCTGAATTATTTTTTATGCCTAGCAAAGTGCCCAAAGCCAAAACGTTCCATGGTTCTGGTGAACATGTGACTCTAGACTGAAGCACAAGGAAATTGATTTAATGGAGTGAGAGAGTTTCTCCATTTACTGCAACTCCATGAATGTGATGTGTTGTTGTCTTCCAGCGTGAGAGGCAGGGTGGAAATATGTCAAGTCACCAGGTATTCATTTCCTCCCTCACTTCAAACACAGACCATAACAGGCCGTGAAACAAACGTGGAAGCGATAAAACTCCAGATCTTGGAGTAAACACATGGATAGTGTTTTGTCTACAGGTGGAGTTTATTGCATTCCTGCAAACGGTTTATAGCCTTGAGACGCTGCCGTCATCCCCCGCCTCCCTTGCCGCCTGTTCTTTCATCCATCAGCCTTGTTCTGCTATTGTCTGCTAGATCATCTCAAACCGGTTTCCCATGGAAAATAAATTTGCATCAGAGAAACAGGGAAGGGGGGATGGGAATAAGTGAGCAGGCAGCACCAGCCTTTCAAACCAGGGCTACTCAAGCTGCGACTGACCAGGCCAAATGGAGCCCACCAGCCATGTATGGTGGCTACAGAGGCTTCATAAAGACTCTGTTTTTGTTCCCTGCTTGGAGTGGTCTGGCAGGTCCCAGCATATGAATGCTGATGGACAATGCTCACCTTGGCAGATCAAAAGTCATGAGGTCCTGGTTCAAACCAATTCCGTGCCACTGTGGGGTCAGGTAAGCTACAGTATCCAGGGCTTTTTTTCAGGTGAGTGCCAATGCCATTCTAAGAGAACAAGGGAGGAGCTCGTGGTGATCTCTGACAGCTCTTTTTCTAGGAAAATAGCACTGGCAAAGACCAGTCCTTTGTGGGCAGGAAAATGGCTCTTTTGGTGGTGTTGAGTCATTGTCCACTTAGTATTTGGTGTCTTGCTTGAACAATTGCATTTTGAAGGGTCAAAAGGGTGTTCTGTATCACAAGAGGAACTAACTGGTGTGAAAATCAAGCTGCAACTTATGGTCCCCAAAGAGTTCCTTTTTTGGTGACACTGCTGCTTTTTACCAACTTTGCCACATAAAGTATGCCCAGTTTGCAATTTTGAGTGTCAAAGAGATGGGACTAAACCTGAGGGCCCCGCTTCTGATTCCATGTGAATTAGAAAAACTGTATCTTTATAAATACCCCGTTGTTAGCTTGCATGTAGGAATATTATTTCTTTCAATCTTATTTGTTCGTTAAAAGCAATTACATCCCACCTCTCTGAGAAATATTGCCGAAGGTGGCTAACAATGAATAATTCATCGAAAGGTAAAACATATTTTTTTTAAAAATACACAGAAAGAATCAGGAAAGAAAAGAAAGTAATATGAAGTAGAGACAGAACAAAGCAATATCTACCGGTATATGGCAGCAGAGATTAAAGCTATCCAGTTAAAATCAGCCAATGGATAGGCCAAATGCCAGCCAAAAGTAGAAATAAACGGGGAGGGGGGATTCACTTGGAAAGTGGCAGCAAAGAGGAAGGAGAGAGAGAGAGAGAGAGAGAGAGAGAGAGAGAGAGAACCTGATTCCTCAAGGGCAGTACTATCCCATCTAAAACAGGTTGAACATCCACTCTCTGAGCCACAGGCATATGGGCCACGAGCATCTCTGTTTTGTCTGTATTAAGTTTCATTTCCTTCTCCTTCATCCATTCTATTCCCAACTCCAAGCACCGATTCCTTAACACCACTCTTGGAACACGATGGCAAGGAAAACTAGAGTGAGATGGGAAGAAAGGGCCAGAGCAACCATTTGCCCCTTCTGCCCCCACCCTCAGGCCTAAGATGAGGAGAACAGAACACAGGACACGGCTGCACCACATCATTGATCTTAGTTACTGGGGGAAGCCATGGCTTCCCCCAGAGAATCCTGGGAAATGTAGTTTGTTAAGGCATGCTGAGAGCTGTTAGGAGACCCCTATTCCCCTCACAGAGCTACAACCCCAAAAGTTCCCCAGGAAAAGGGACTGGTGGTTTCGTTAGCTGCCCCGAGGATTTCGTTGAAAGGGGAAATGCCAAAAGCAAAGGACGAACAGATCTGCTCTGATGGTGACAACTATGAACTGTTTTTGCTGGGGTAGCTAGAAGCTCCAGATGTCTTCCAGCTGTTTCAAAAATGTTGACTGCTGTGATCATTTTAACTAGGCTCTACCCATTAAGATCATAAGTGAACAAGCTTAGGTTTCCCCAAGGCTTTGCCATTCCAGGCTGTTTGGTATAGTTTGAACACAGGACTAACCAGTGGAGAGTGTGCCCAGATAAATGATAATGCATCTTTCACATTGAGGAAGTCAGTGTAAACACCACTTATCGTGCACATGCACATGTGCTCTGGGTTGAGTTTTCTTCCTCTTTCCAACGTCTTCATACTGCTTAGACCCAGATAAGTTCTTCAAAAAAAAAAAAAAAAGAAGCATGCAGCATATTTTTAAAAAATGGTTTCAAAGATTACGAAATTGCCCTGTATGCAAGTGACAACCCAATGTTGTCATTCTGTAAACGGCCTCATTCAGACAGGCTTACATTGCATAGGTTTTACTGGTGATTATGCCAGTGCTTCTGTCCTGATCTAAGGTTCCTTTTTCACTGCAGGACCTGTTGCATCTGGAAGTGGGGCTTTTTGATTAACATAGTGCAACTTCATGGCCAACCAGTGATGTGAGCCCAGCTCTCCCCAGCCCAAATCTAACATGCTAACTGTGACACCCCTCCTTTGCCAGCTCACTATTCTATAACCAGGCCTGGCGCCAGCAGTAAACAATGCCAGGCACTGCCCAAGGACCCCCCAGCAGCTCAGAAGGGCCCCCCAGGAACCCAACCTGGCTGTGCCACTTTCCCACCCTCCATTGTATCAAGCACTGGGCAGGCTGTGGCGCCACTTTTGAATGGGAGCAACCCACTGTTTGCAGTTCCATCAACACATTTTACAGATCTAGAGCAGGGTATTGCATTTTGGACAAATTAAAATGGCAGGCGGTTACAGAGGACAGGAATCAAAAATGAAACTGCCACCTATCCAATGTTAAAACACTGCCCTGGGGCCAGCAAGGAGGGTGGTAAGTGTGTTGCTGCCGCTGCAAAAGCAACAGCGGGTGAGCAAATGGCAGGGGGCATCTGTGGCACCTTGCCATGGATCTCCTGAAGCTTGGCACCACCCTTGTCTGTAACTGCCAGCTGATTCTAATAGATTCGGCATTGTGCTGTGTACTGCTACTGCTACACACATACAGATGCTTGGATTCACTTTTGGGGCACGGCTATGGGGCTGCCATGGTTATCTCCTGCATCTCAGAATTGATTGATATGCATTGGATTGGCAGGAAACAAGGGGTGCAAGACAAAATTCATGGGACACCTCAGATTGTTTCTTGGGATGCGATAACAGCAGTCTTCAGAAACAAACAGCCACACAGGTCTTTCTGTACAAATTATTGACAAGGTACTTGTAGTGGGAGCTTTAAGTCTCTCTCTTTTCTCAGGATCCATTCAACATAAACACACTAACATGCTAGGGAAACAGGATGGAATAATATTAGTGGGGTGCAATCCAATGGATAGAGTATGCATTTAAGGTCATAGATAAACCATAATAGAGGAATAATTAGCTGGATTTATGTGGTCTCATTAGCTCTGATAGTGCAGCACATCGGACCGCAAAGTAATTAGTGCTGTTGTACAGAAGGATTTAGAGAGCCTTTTACATTAAATACTGTCATCATCGTTAATCAGCCCAACTAAAGTTCCTGCCATTATTAGTGCACTTAACATCTCGAAACGTCCTTCTGTTCTGGAGAAGAAATAGCGCCACAGAACACACCAGACCCTGAACGCTCCAGGCTGAACCCGAGCCAAATCCCTCCATGGAAAAGTTTCCATTGTCACCACAGTCCTAGGATAATTGAAAATTTATTTTTGACTTTATTTAAAACACTTCTGTTCCACCTCTCAGTTACGAAAACACAAACCCACAAACGTCTGCAGCAGCTAACAGAGAAGTGAAGAAGAATCAGTTTAAAATATACACAGTAAATAATAAAAACCAAATGAGCAATAGAGAAAGGAGCCAAACAATGGAACAATCAATCAGCAGCCATAAAGGGATAATGTGCAGTTGTTTGGGAGAGGTAATGGAATTCAGCAACCTCTTCCTACTTGTTCAGAAAAGCTCACATTGACTTTATTGTTCTGTCAGCCAGTGCCTATTGATGATTATGGCTCAAGATGCAAGGAAAATGGAGGGTGCTTGACATCCCTTTCCAGGAAAACTGTTCCATATCAGCTTCTGGGAAGTCATGAAGAGAGGCTTCTGGCTGAGATAAAGAAAGAGTTTCTGTTTGCAACAAATACTAGGAACTCATTGGAAGCTGTCTTTACTCGGTCAGGCTATTTAAGCCACCTAGCCAGTAGTACCAACTGTACTTTGATTGACAGCGACTTCCTAGGGACCTGCTACCTGATCCTTTTAACTGGAAGTGCCTGGGTCTGAACCTGAGATCTACTGCATGCAATGCATGAGCAACATCGCTGAGCTGCGGCCCCATGGCCATAACCCACAATGCTTAGGGAGATGCAGGGTCATCCATGCTTGCTCGTCCCAGCCCCCCCCCTATTAAGGGGGCTGCCACCCCCCACTGCCACCGGGTGCCCTCCGCATGCCCCAGCAACCTGCAGCCTCCCTCGCTGGCTGTGCTTCCTGATCTGTTTCTTCACAACGTCTTCTTCTGGGCTTAAATTGAAATGTGGACACCCAGGAAGGCTGCATGGTACAGACGACTGGCAATATGGTTTGCAGTTTCTATCCCCTTTGAAAATTTTGAAATGTAACTCGTTTTCTTATCAATGGAGAATGGTTATTAAAAAAAATAAAATCAGGAGCAATTTTCAGCACAGCACAAGTCTAAACCACCATCACTTCTTAGGACAGTGAGTTCCTTACATTCATTATGCTTTGTGTGACAATGCACTTGCTAAGTTCACACAAGCTCCTCTTTCCCCTAGTACACCCTACCCTTTATTTTTCATTCCCTTTCTCCCAAACAGTGGACAACACAAAGAACTAAACAGTATATACCGATGCTGGGCATTGTCATGTAGATTAAGTGTCCCAATATCTTTCCATGCGTCAGACTCACATGGTTTTATAGCCATCCACCCACTTGCCCTCCTCTTGGTTATAGTGCCCCATTTCCTTCTCCTCACCACCCACGCGCACTTACTTTCTCTCTCCATCCTCCACCTGTCTTGGCAGCAAAGCCAAGGGCACCACACCTCAGTTCTGTGGTGGCCGTGATTGGTGATCTGCTTCCTTCCCTTCCAAGGGTATAGCTGCTACTGCAAAGGTCTTACTCTTTCTTGGCTCTTTACAACCAGTGTGCTTGCTTCCCCTGCCCACACAGATGAGCAGTCCCAGTCGCCCCCTGATGTACACTTGCTTGGACCCATCCAACGTGTGAACCAGGAGTCAAGGACGAACCAAAATCTAACCTGCTTTGCAGGATTGTCATTGTTGCGAAGGTGAGATTGAGGTTCTTGCAACTGCCCTGAGGCCTTGAAGGTCGTGTTGGAACAGAGAGAGAAACAAATCAGCTAGCAAGGCACAGCCTTTGAGAGGCCTCCCTCACTGTCCTGGACACTTGAAAATGGATATGGAGACTGGGCAGGTGTCAAAGGTCAAAGGCAAAGTTGGGCATCTGCCAAGGTCTCACACACCAACAGGAGGTGCACAGGCAAGAGCTCTTCCTCTGCAGCTCAGCACCTTCCTTCTTCATATGCCTCTTGTTCTGCCCCAGACAATGGCGGTGGTAAAAGTGGCAAGCGATAGGGGCCACTTATTTATTAGACTTTTGTTTAGAGACTGCCTTTCTGATCAAAGCTTCCCAAGGCAGTTGACGTCATTAAAGATTTCAAACTACAACAGCAATACAAAATAGAAATGGAAAAGTACCTCAGCACTATTAACCATCAGCCAAATAACAGATAAACCATCCCAACCTGGTTTCACAATTTACAGAGCAGTTATTTAAGTCACCAGACCCTTTCTAGAACACTGAAGTGTAGTGATCTTCCTGAGGCTCAGAGTCTATACATTCCACAGCTGCGGAGTCACCACTGAAAAGGCCCTCTCCCTTTTGCCTGCCAATTCTACTTTCCTAGGCAGCAGGCAAATGAAGTGTGGGATCAATTGTTGATCTTAACGTGTGGGTAGGTTGGCAGAGGTACAGGCAGCCCTTCAAACAACTTCAGGCAGCCCTTCAAACAACAACACATTTTCAAGGTTAAAGCCAGCAATTTAAATTGGGCTCAGAAATTCACCAGCAACCAATTCAACAAGTGTAATAAGGGTGTTACAAGATCTGACCACCTTGCTCCCATCTTGGCAGCCACATCTTGAATCAGCTGAAGTTTCCAAGCCATCTTTAAAGGCAGCCACATACAGAGCACATTGGGCAGGGTGGTCCCTCCTCCTACCTGGCTGATCCCCTGGCAATGCCTCCCCAGGCGGGATTGGGAGATTGGCTGAGGTAGGCGGAGACCTCCAGGTATCCAGCCTGGGGAGGGCGAAGCCAGCCCGTACTACCAGGAGCCACATTAGGATCCGGGGGGCTGCGCGCGACCACGCAAAAGGCACCCCCCATTTGATGTGGGGAGCAGTCATTACAGTAGTCAAGCCTAGACATGAATGGGTATAGTTTACTGTGGCTCAGTTTGACTGATGCTGAAGCTGAAGAAACGAACTCCTGCTCACCACTGCCACAAGTTAGTGCAGAGTTCAAGAGAAATCCCTAACCGCATACTTGTTCTTTCTGAGAGAGTGCCATCCCATCCTAGACTAGATGTAAACTTCCTTCTGGAACACGCAACCCTGCCTCCACCCACAGAACCTCCATCTGGACTGGAATTTGTTTGCCCAGTTTAGGAGTTCTACGGCCTCCCTGGGATTGGAAAACAGAAATGAGAGCTAGAAACTGACTGTCAACCACATACAGAAGCCCAGACCTCCAGACGGTTTCTCCCAGTGGTTTCATGTAGATCAGGGGTTGGCAACCTAAGGCCCATGGACCAGGAAGTGGCCCACAGAGGCTGTTGAAGTGGCCCACGAACCGCCCCTGAACTGAGCCGCTCGCTCGGTGAGTCCCTGCGCACTGCACTAAACCGGCGCAGCACGACACAGGGACTCTCTTCCGCAGCTCCAGAAATCGCTTCTGCACATGCCCAGATGCCAGAAATTGCATCTGTGCATGTCTGCGGTGCCAGAAATCACTTCTGCACATGCCCAGACACCAGAAATTGCTTCTGCAGAGGCATGATTTTCTGCATCTGGGCATGCGCAGAAGCGATTTCCGGCACCACGGACATGCACAGATGCAATTTCCGGCCTCGTGCTGCACCGGTCTGGCCCACAGGATCTCCACAGGAGTGATCTGGCCCATGCCTGGTAAGCCTTGCCGACCCCTGATGTAGATGTTCAAAGGCATGGTGGACAATACCAACCCTTGTTGAACCTATTACGTCAATTGTCACAGGGTAGAGCTGAAGGACCATCTTTTGAGAATGCTCATCTAGGAAGATTCAGCTCCACCACAAAATGGTGTCTCCTATGCCCATCCCTGACAACCAACCCAGAATGATGCCCTGGTTAATGGGATCATATGCTCCTGAGAGCTCCAGGGGAACTAGCAGCATAGCACTTCCGGTGGGGAGAAGGTTGACTCCCTGAGGGAGGGGGCCCCACGGAGGGTGTCTCTTCTTCTTCCCCAGAGGCACTTCCAAAGGTGGATTTGTCAGTATGTGGAGGATGAGCTCAGGATTGAACATGGAATTTGGAATGGTGCTTGGAACACATGTGCACACAGAACACACCCCAACTTTCCTTCCACATCTCAGACTCTTAAGACAGCTGTCATATTGCAGTCTATCTTGTCTTTGGCTTCCCTTTGAAAATGGTGATGCTGAGATTCGTACTTGAAACATAGTGTGCAGAGAACTGGCATTCTGGTTGTCTTCAAGGGAGATGTCACCAATGACAGGCTGGCTTTTGCACTGAATGGCTGGTGTTCGCTTATCCGTCCCACGGAACGGAAATCAATCCAGTAAATAAAATCGACATTCACTGTGTTGCTGCTTTCATTCCAAGATGATATGTAATTGATCATGTTTCCCCCTCCATCTGTATTGTGTTTTCTTTGCATTCAGATGAATGGGGTGGAATAGCGTGACGACAATGTAATTCATTACATTATGCAATTTTGCCACAGTGGACAGTGTAGTTTTCAGTGGAAGACAAACTGCAGAAAAATGGAAAAAGTGATGCATGTGCTGAATACAGGGCAGAGCAGAGCGCCTTCTTACATCCCTTTTCCTGATTTCTTTCTCCTCTTTTATTCTTCCCTGCCACCTCTAGAAATATTTGGAAGTGCCACATCCAGCCCTCCCTCCCTTTCATCCCAGTAATGATGCAGAGCCGCTTCCTTTGATCACAAGCATGAAGACAGAACAAACGGTGCCTCCAGAGATCCTGCTCGCTGCCAGCAGTCGGCAGGTGTTGCTTGGGCTGCCGCCAAAACACCACCACAGGCTACCTGGCAGAGCGCGGATGCAGCACCCGCACCTCTTTCTCTGAAACCCAAAAGTGAGAAGGCAGAGCAGGTCACCAGGTGGAGGATGCCACTCTATCAAAGAATGGAAAAAAAAACCCGTAACAATACAGCAATTTGACCTCATTACTCATTTGGCTCCTGAAAGAAAGAAAAAAGGATGTAGGAATCCGAGGTGCACTATGATCCTTCAACCTGCTAAGCAAAAGACCAACGTCAAACTCTTATCCAGGCTGGAAAACCAGGGTTGAGGGAGAACTAAAAAAGCTATTTAAAAAACAAAAACAAAAACCAAGGCAGCTTGCAGACATGGCACCAGGAAAATACCAATATCTATCCATTAACTTCTTGGGTGTTAAGATCAGCAGAAGGGGGCACTTTTGGTAGTTCCTCTGCTCTCAGACGCTCAGGGTGGGCAGAGATGGCATTCTCTGTGGCCATTGGTGGAGGAAGAGGGGTGTGGGGGGAGCGCACCGCCCCCGGCAGCGTGATCCCAGTGGGGAGCCATCGCAGCTGCCCCCCTGCCCATGCTGGGCGCCATGTCCCCCAGGATGCGCACCACACCCCTGCGGGCGGTGCGCCGCACCCCCAGGACACGCGCCATCCCCGGCCCTGGCCCCGCCTGCTCTCCGCCCCACCCCCCGGTGCCAGAGCATGAAGCTCTGCCACTGTCTGTGGCAGCCCCTAAGTTGTTGGATTCCCTCCCCACAGAGGTGGGTCTGGTCCCTTCACTATAACAGTGGTACTTCTAGATACGAACGGGATCCGTTCCAGAGCCCTGTTTGCATCTAGAGGTAAACGTAACTAGCGACGGCACATCTGTGCACGCACGCGTCACTTTTTGCCACTTCTGCGCATGCGCGCGGCGTCATTTTGAGCGTCTGCGCATGCGCAAGCGGAAAACCCCGGAAGTAACACGCTCCGATACTTCCGGGTTGCCGAGGAGCGCAACTCAAACGCGCTCAACTCAAAGCATATTTAACCCGAGGTATGACTGTACAGCTTTCATTGTATGCTGAAAATACAACTCTTCACCCTGATCTTTGACACTTGGGATGCATTTTTCAAGATGTTCTTGTGATTGTCATATGTTTTAAACTGTTTTATTGTTGCATTCTATTGTTGTGTTGTGACCCTGGGGTGAATGTTTTTATTGGTTATTGCCAACCCAAACAACAACAGCAAGCCATGCACAGTATTTACATACACCCAGTTCAATCTGGTACACCAGAAACAGTCCAACAGCACTTTACTAAGAAAATTTAAGGAATGTGTGAAAACTATTACTGCTTAAAAAAAAACACCAAAAAAACTAGCGGCTTTTATAAGATATTTCCAGATTTGGCAGAAGACTCCATGGAAGTACTCACAAAAATCACCAGCATATACTATCCTTCTTATTATATATCCTTGCATAGAATTCCTTGCAATGTCCCTTTATTTGGCTCCAGCTGAAGCTTCTTCCTTCCCAGCGGCATCCAAACTATGTAAAGGCCTCACTTGAGTATGTGCATTGAAATCTGGTGGATCAAAGTTTCCCATTCATGCTAGATTACCATTCAGTCTCCCTTGCAGAAATCAAAGGGATATTGCAGTTTATGTCCTCTTTAATCTCCTTTTGCAAACAAGGGATCTAGCAGCTCTCTAACTGATTTTATTGTTGTAAATTTCTGATCACACACTGAAAGAAATGAGCCGGTAAAATCTCAGCTACATTTGTTGATCAAAACTCAGATGCACCATATAAAGAAATGTTATCAACGCTGTTAGCTGCAGCTAGAAAGCTAACAGCAAGAAATTGGAAAACTGAAGATGGAGGAACATTCGATGAATGGGAAAATTTGCCCTAATGGAAAGATTGGCAAAGCCAGTACAAGCAACCAGAAAAACCAACATAGAGGATGAGTTCATTAGATGGTGGCACAGGTTCATTCTACATTCCAGAATCAGTGAAAATAGGACTTCAGTAGCAGCTTCCTAAGAACTTTCCTGGAGAGACTTGATAGGTTGAGATGAAACAATGTACTGCCCTTCACATTCTCCCTATGCATTATGAAAATAAGCTTAATGACACAAAAGGGAATATTGTACATCAAAGAAACCAAACCAAATATGATGTGATATTTTTGCATGATATTGTTATATAAAGTGGGGTGTGTGTGTGTGAATATGTGTACTGCCATTCGGGAGGGAGGGAGCTGAATACCATCCAAAACTAAATTCAACAGGGGAAACAAACAAATGAAATGGTGGGTCATTGCTATGAAGAAGGCAGCCCTGCAAGTTTTCACTACTTGGTTCAATGAAGGTCTGTTTACTCTTGGGTAAAGAAACGGAATGCAATAAAAAGTTTATATATAATACGTGCTTGGTAACAAATGACAAGAAGGGTATTTGTATATGCTGTCAAGCCTATGAGGCCATGTCCACTGTGCCCAGCGAGTTGCAACAGGAATGAAAAAGCTTTTTGCATTTTAAAACTTAAGCCCCAAATTAGTAACATTTTAAAGAATGAAAAATACTAGAGACTCATAGAGAGATGCATTGCCTTTCCATAGAATCAGAGTGTTGTTCTGAGGAAATGGAGCTGGATTCTTTACATAAAAGTGAGTGAGAGTTTCCTTCTAACCATGTAATAAAATCTCTGAAGCTGTTGTTTCTCCTCCTCCTCCCTTTCATTAGTTTACACTTGCTTCATTTTCTGAAGTTCTCTTCAGCTGAAAGGGGAAGATCAGTGTACTACTTAAAAATATAAATGAGGAGGGGAAGCCCATGGGCACAGGAATCATAATACATATTCCAAACCCAGTGGATCAAGAGATGTTTCCAAAACATGCTGTGGGGAGAGAGTTATGCAAAGTTCTCTCAAAACTTCTCCAGGGCATGGTGTGGGGGAGACAAACGCAAGATGAACTCATTCACAAGAGTTATGGGATGTTTCTCTGTGCAGATCGTGGTCAAGTGAGGAATGCAGAAAGTCTGCCTTGCAACGGAAACAGCACTTGCTAAGAAATCCAGGCTGAGATATCTCCACAAGAGTGGGGTCAGATTAGACAAGGGGGAGAAATTCTGTCCTGTTCACATTTAAAGGCTACCTGATTTGCACTTTCCAAAACAATATGCGAACTGAAACACAGCCATCAAATGCAGTTCTCCAGCTAAGCAATGTATAGAAAAACTCATATACTTGTGCATATTAGTGAACATAACATACGGAAATGCATTATATTAAGGGAAACAGCTTGCAAAAGCATGCACATTGGGGGAAATGGCATGTAAAAATATATTTGCTCTAAAATTCTGGTGAATTTCCCACCAGGATGTTTTAAAGGCAGGTTGACAAACTGATGTAGAAACATGGAGAACTAAACTTAAGATTGGGAAAATGACAAATGGAAAAACCGAAATGGATTCACCCATCCCCGTCAGATGTATCTCTTTCTAGCTATTTCTTTTTATTTTGAGTCAGTGACACACTTCCTTGTGCCTGGCTTCAGAAGAGGTCAGCTCCTTCTAGCATGCAACTCTTACATATTCCAAACATCTTTCCTTCCCCACAGGCATCTTTAAGCATCCTCACCCAATGACCTACTTGATGTTATTACAATAAATGATTGTCCCAGCAGCAGATCCAAACAACCCAGAGTAATGAGAAATGTTATTCTGCTGGTTCATGTGCCATGTATCATATACATGCAATGAGTGGCTTTAAATAATAGTTTTCATTGAATGAACTTACTGGATGGGTGGTTACTGTTTTGGAATGAGCCTTTACTGGCAGATGCTAACTCAGAAGTGCTAGTCCCATTTTGTCTCACACATTAGCAACATCTAGCGTAAAATTGAGAGAAGAGAGTGACTTTTCACAGGGACCAGCCAAAGAGAACACACTGCACAAATCATAACTCATCTGCATTGGCTTCCATTTTGCTTCTGGGCCAACTCAAACCACACTGCTGGTACTGTCAGTCACTTGGCTACTGGAAAGGGCTGGTGTTCGTCCAACTAATAAGCATTTTCTGAAGGTGTCAGAGAAGTACTCAAGAACTATGTTTAAAGCAACTTCACCTTCTGAAGTTTGATTATTTTTAAAAGCAATAAACAACAAGTTTTCTTAACTATCCATTGGCACTGAACAACTCAACTGAAACAACTCACCGCCACCCCTTCCCTCTCGTAGAAGTGGAACCAGAACTGGTTCAACTGCTCGCACCAGGTGATTTATTAAACAGCTTTATCCATTTGCTTTTTCCATTCATAAATTTACTAAGAGAATCTGCACTTTTTTAATGACTTTGTTCATCATGTTCAATTATTCAGCGACTGATTTTAGAGAGCCTGTAAATAATTCACAAACTGTTCCTGTGATTCTTTTTTTGATCCCTGGAGTTCTTCATTCACGTGGCTGATCACACATGATTGCCAGGCTCCAGAGTCAGACATTTCAGTGAGCTTACTAGTAATTTATAGGAAAGGCTCCCCAAACCTTCCCAAAAAAATCCTCATTAAATGGTCCTTTAAGCAATACAGTCCCCTTACGAATGTAGGGTAAAAAATCTCCTGCAACACACCTCAAACCAATGCAGGGCTTTATATTGGGACGCAAAAGCTACTCTTCCTTCTTGCTGGTTGTACCTGCAAGGTCTACACTTCATTCAACAATTGTGCTCACAATGGGGTAACGCTTCCCAAAGCAAGCTGGAAGTATGAATGGCAGAGGCGCATCATTCACATGCACTAGAGATCTGTGGCCCAAACAGAGCTCATAAGCACATTTATCATGGGTATTCAATAAGGCACGGCTGCCACTCACATTTTACACTTTTACTGCAGAGGGGAGAAAAAAACATTGTAATGCATTGCCACATAAAATATAGGCTCACTCCAATACTTTTTCAGTATGTATGCAGGGGGAGAAAGTGTGCATGTAATATACATTGCCAGGTGTGAAATTTGTTGTGTGTATTTGTTCTGGAGAAGGAACACAAATTAGAAAGGACCAGCCTAGGGCACTCAGCTGCCTGAGGCAGACTGGCAAATGGGGCCTACACACACACACACACACACACACACACACGGGGGGGGGGGGTTATAGTCCTAAAGGCCAGCAAACTGATTTGGGCACCTGAGGCAGAAATAAAATCCACAAACACTTCCCCAACAGTATAAAAAAACCTAATGGTTTTCATCTCTTTTGTGACACCCAAAATCAGCTGCTTGAGGTGGCTGCCTCTGCCTCATTCTGCCTAACGCCAGGAGCAAAACCTGAAGGCACTATTGGCAGTGAATGTCCAACAAGCCATACATGCAACAGAAGGACCCTTGATGTGATGATGTTCACCAGCATACACAGGGTTGTGGGTTCCTAAAGAGTGCACTGCAGTTGAAATGACTGATGATCCCAGTTAAGAAATGGAACATGAGCCTGGCTACAGGCACACCTGCTTGATTTATTCATTTGGAAGTTTTATACTACTCTGCTTTCTGAATTGAACCAACAAGGCAGACTGAAACAGTACAAAACAGAGAAAACACATGCAAGCAGAACTACAGACGTACACACAAACAAACCAGCAGCCCTTAGTCCTCTGCTGATGGCAATGGCCAGAGCGAGCTTCTCGTCTGCTCTGCAATCCTAGGACAACTGGCAGATGGAGCAGACCTTCTCTGGGCAATGGGTAGGGTGCCAAGTTGGTTTTCCCTTTGATGTGACATTCTTCCTGGGAGTTAGGAAGTACAAGTTCCCAATGACCCTTTGTCCTCTGACTGATGGTGTTCATGGAGCAGTGCCAAATGAAGGCTAACCAGGAGACTCACAGGAGCAGGGGTAATTCTCCCTTTTGTATTTCTTCTGGGTTTTTCTTTTTCTTTTTTCTGTGTAAGGTGTCAAAACCTTACGCCTCAATTCTAATGAAGTTTCATCTATTTACATCTCAAAAGAAGTTTCTCCTGAACTTAGAAATTCAGGACTCTGATGATTTTCTTACAATATATTCCACAGCTGAAGACTAGTTTCAGTTTAAAAGTAAATTGCTAGCTTGTGCAAATAGTGCTGTGAGGAAATCATTCATAGGAACAGGAAGTTATATAATTAGGAACGTACATTAGTTTTAAAAGCACAAAGATAAAATGCTATTCTGCAATAGGAGCTATGGCTTAGTCCACAACACATTTTATTGTTGCCAGTTATGCAAAACGGGAGAGCTACATATTAGAGAACTCCTTGCATAAGGCGAACCCAGTATTAAAGGTTATCACAATGAAAGAGAGCAGAAATAAATATAATGTCATTATTGGAAAAATCTACAGAGCAGAAAAATTAGAGTAGTGTACATTTCTGGTTATTTTGTTCCAAAAGCTACCAAAAAGCTAGCAAAAAGTGGGCTTGGTGATACAGCTCCATGCATAAGGCCCTGCGTTCATTCCCAGACTTCTCCAGGTAAAGAGCAACAGGGCTAAGAAAGAACTTTGGATCTTGGAAATGTACAGATGGTCAGAAGAGAACACTGGACAATAGACTGAGACAGTTTCATAGATGTTCAAAAGTTACAGAGAGGGCAACTGAAAGGATCAAGGGCACCGTGAAGCATCATCTCAACAAGCGCCGGCTAAAGCCTTTGGGTCATTATATAACCCTGAAAAGAAATAACAGAAAATATAGCAGAAGTCAGGGGCATCAACAAAATCAGTAAAATGAGGTGAGACTAGGAAAACTAGTTTGGAGAAAAAAGGTGAACAAATCTTTAATTCGGGCTATGCATTTAATTTAAATTTATATAGCTGCCCATCAATAAATATTCCTTAGAGAGAGAGTGGGGGAAGCTTTCATATATAAAGCATAAGCCCAGTTTTAAAGCACAGCTAAATCTGCTGTTACTGAAAGTTGAACTTGCAAATAGTGCAGTGTGAAATATGGAGGGGGGGCACACAAGAGAACAGCTAAGGAAGCAGTTGGACCCTTGGATCACATGGGAGTCAAATATGTGCTAATAGAAGATAAGGGGATTGCAGAAAAGCTAAATAAATTATTTGTGTCTGTCTTCACTGCAGAAGATATATGGCAGAATGCTGTGCCTAACTAGACTTTGCAGGAAGGGAGTATGAGGAACTGAGGCAAATAGTGGCGATAAGAGACAAAGCTCTAGGTCTAATAGACAAAATAAAAACTGTCGCGTCTCCGGTTCCAGGCGGCATCCACTCGAGATTTCTTAAAAAAACAACCTCAAATGTGGAATTTGATATATGTACAAAAATATGTAACATGTCACTCAGATTAGTCTTCATACCAGAGGATTGGAAAGTGGCCAATATAACACCATTTTTTTAAAAAGGGATCCAGAGGGGTTCCTGGAAATTACAGGAAGCTAGCTTAATAAATGTCACATATATGTTCATGGGGTCTGAACAGGCAATGTCTGACCAGGAACAAGACTATGGGATCATGGTGGACAACTCTATGAAGATGTCCATCCACACTTGGAGTATAGTGCGTAATTCATAGAATAATAGACTATTAAGCTGGAAGGGACCGTAAGGGTCATCTAGTCCAACTCCCTGCAATGCAGGAATCTCAGCTAAAGCATCCATGACAGATGGCTGTCCAATCTCTGCTTAAAAACCTCCAAGGAATGAGAGTCCACAACCTCCCAATAGACTGTTCAACTGTCACACAGCTCTTACTGTCAGAAAGCTTTTTCTGAATGTTTAGCTGGAATCTCCTTTCTTGTAATTTGAAGCCATTGGTTTGAGTCCTACCTTCCAGAGGAGAAGAAAACAAGCATGTTCCCTCTTCCATGTGACAGCCCTTGAGATATTTGAAGATGGCTATCATATCTCCTCTCAAGTCTTCTCTTTTCCATGCTAAACATACCCAGCTCCTTCAACCGTTCCTCATAAGGCTTGGCTTCTAGACCCTTCATCATCCTAGTTGCACACGTTCCAGCTTGTCAACATCCTGAAATTGTGGCACCCAGAATTGGACACTGTATTCCAGGTGTGGTCTGACTAAGGCAAAATAGAGGCAGTCCAGGAGGACTCTGCCAGGAGTCACGTAGGATCGGGGATGCTGCACACGGGCACGCAAAGGGTGCCCTCCATTTGATGCAGAGAGCAGTCATTACTTCCCTTGATCTGGACACTACAGTTCAGTTGATGCAGCCTAGAAGTGTCAGCTTTTTTTTTTGCTGCTGCAGCATCACACTGTTGACTCACATTGAGCTTGTGGTCCACCAAGACCCCTAGATCCTTTTCACAAGTGCTGCTAGTAAGCCAGGTGTCCCCTGGTTTATTACCATAGTACTCCTATACGTTGCTCATGAAGATCCCAGAGGAATCCAGCTGTCCATTGCTGGAGACAAAATGCTGAGAGAAATGGTTTGCTCCCACAAAGCAGTTCTTGTTATCTTAAATATTTGTGCCAGGAAATCAGTCCCTTGCTATAACTTTATAATTTTTGCCCTTATTTTGGTGCAGTAGCCGGTATACCTCAATTCTAAGCAGTCATTTGCTTGATCAAACAATGGGGTCAGGCCATTACTGTCATCGCCAGTCCAAATCTTCACATTAAGAAACTTCCAAACAAGCTATGTCGTGATTTACAACACTAAATTCTCTGTTTTGTTTTGTTAATCATCACTAATGTGACAGCTTAAGAAAACAGAAAAACAGTCTGGAAAGGCAATAAAATATATGGAACCTAACCAACAAGTGGGTCACTAAACATGTTCTCATGGGCCAAAGAGACAGGAGGAGGATGGTATTTTAACAAGTATAAACGTGTGTGGACATGCTGGCCAGACATTGCTAGTTCTCAAGAACTTGCAACATTACTTCAGGGTGTGGTATTATACTTTGCTTAAGTAAAATAATAGGAGCACACACCCTAATTGTTCAACTGTGTTAGAGCATTAGCTCAATAACCATTGCATTGCAGAATTTATCCCCTTATAACCCTACAGAAACTTAATTACATTGACTCCTACTCTTACCGTACACTTATTTATTTAGACTTTTCAACCTTGCTCGTCTTCAGATGATATTCAATAGTTCATAACCATCTTTAAACCAATTGACAAAAAAAGTAGGAACGCGGGTGGAACCAAGTACAGGCTAAAGTACTGACATGATCCTACCCCAAACACTCATTGCAAACAATTCCATGTCTTTTTCAAAAGAGTACTAAGGCATCACCACCAGAAATCAGAGAATCAATGGCATACAGCAGGAGTGGGGAACCTCAGTGCGAAGCCCAAATATGGACCTCTGGACCTCTATCTGACCCTTGGAACAATTCCCAGGCCTCATCCTGCACTGACCCTGCTTCTCACCCCAAGTGTTTTTGCCTGGCTGAAATGTGTACCTGAACTCTGATATGCCTCTTGCTTGTCTAGATGGGGGACAGAGAGGTGAGAGTAGGGAGGGCCCTTGGGCTGAAAAACGCTCAGCCCCCCTGGTATAAGGGGACTCTTCCACACAACCCTCCAAGGTGCTCTCCCACACAGAAGTCCTCTCAAAATGAACCGATTCATGGGAGCTTCTGTAGGCTTGGCCCATGTGAGCTTCCCAGCAGATGAACAGAGATGGAGATGTTAAAAGCCATCCTATATTATAATTTCATGCAAGAACTGTGTTAACAGCACTTTGCCACAACATTACAATGGAACTGAGAGATATTGATAAACACAACCATTCAGGCCTAGGTGTGTTTAAATTTGACTGAAATTGTTTACAGTTACAATTAACAATTTGTATGGGGAGGGGACTCAAAACCAATGGTGTATTTTCATAGAATCATAGAGTTGTAGAGTTGGAAGGATTTAAAACTATTAGTTAAAGTACAGTGGTACCTCAGGTTAAGTACTTAATTCGTTCCAGAGGTCTGTTCTTAACCTGAAACTGTTCTTAACCTGAAGCACCCCTTTAGCTAATGGGGCCTCCTGCTGCTGCTGCGCCGCCGTAGCACGATTTCTGTTCTCATCCTGAAGCAAAGTTCTTAACCTGAAGCACTATTTCTGGGTTAGCGGAGTCTGTAACCTGAAGCGTATGTAACCCGAGGTACCACTGTATAGATGGATCTTTGACACCTCTATACTAAGAACATGTACACAGCATGTACAAAGCACCAACTGGGTTCAGGCAAGGCTGAATTTGGTGGTCCTGATTGGGCCTCAATTCAGGCCTGATTGCTCCAAGCCTCAAACTAAATTTGGACCTTACACAACCTTGGGATCAGGCAGGGTGGAGGCGAAGTAATCTATGATGCAGACAGAGAGTCTCACCTGCGTCATCTTCTTCTCCTTGCTCACCGCCCCACTGCATGTTTAATATCTTCCCCCTCCTTTTTTTCCAAGGTGATCCAGGACTGCCAATCCACAAGAGCCCCAATTCAGTCCAAATTATTCCGATTTGGGTTGGAATTCAGCCTGATTGGTTGCACAGCCCAAAACGTACACCTGTAGGTTATTTAAAACAAACTTTTCTCTACTACTAAGAGGTGTGCTTTCTGTGAATCCCAAGAGACCAACCAGAATGCAGTATTATCATCAGCAGTAAACCACAATATCATGCCCAGTTTCAAAAAGTGTCTGCCTGAGCAGCTACCACAAATGGAAGTTTTATTCTTCCAGTTCTCTCCTGCAAGTTAAATGCAAAAACAATGAAGAGTCTTGTATTATCTTAAAGACTCACAAATGTATTATGGGACATGCTTTTTAGAATGGAGTCTACTTTAGTAGATACATGAAGTAATACTAGTTTATTGATTTACACAATAAGCAAGAGTTGCAGTGAGCATGCTTATTACCCAAGGAATAACGATTCAATAAAGTGGTTTCACACCCTCCTTCCTTCCTTTCATTGAAAGACTACCTTCTCCTCTTGTTCCTCTTCCTTGTCAACACCCTCAGGCCTTGCTAGGAGCATGATCAGATCTTCTTTCGAGGTGGCTCCCCCCTGATAAGAAGTATCTAGCACATGCATAGGCCAAACAGAGATGGGCAAACTGTGCATCAGGCTCATGACATTGCATCCATAGATGAAAAATGTATTGTGTACTCACTAAACAAGCTCAAGATGCAAAGCCATGGCAGAACTATCTGGCCCTACCAAACATCAGATACAAATATCATAACCTCCTCCTTTTCTGACAGCGTAATATAATATGAACAGCAAAGTCAAGAAGCCTTTTTTATATAAAGAAAATGGAAGCCTTGCTCAAATGGAGAAAAGGACAAACTCTGACACACACAAAATGGAGGCTGACAATAAGGCAAGAAAGTAGAATTTTGCCTCCGTGTTCTACCATTTGCATTTTTGCTGCTGCCCTTTTCTGTATTATTATCATCATCATCATCATCCTCATTATCTGGTATCTAATGTTAGTCAGAGCAGAATCATAAAATCATAGAGTTGGAAGAGACCACAAGGGCCATCGAGTCCAACCCCCTGCCAAGCAGGAAACACCACCAGAGCACTCCTGACATATGGTTGTCAAGCCTCTGCTTAAAGACCTCCAAAGAAGGAGACTCCACCACACTCCTTGGCAGAAAATTCCACTGTCGAACAGCTCTTACTGTTCTGAGTAGATCCAGTGAAATTCGTGGGCATGACTAACTTAAGTCTGTTCAGATCAGAACTTTGCTGGATCCAACCCAGTCACTCCAAGAAGAAAAGAAAACAGATGCAGGGCTACCATCAGCTCTGCTGGAGAACCAGGATCTTCCCTCCAGCAGCTGTACCCCATCAGGATGTAGCAAAGGAAGGGATGCAGGTCCATTCAGAGACAGTGTGGCAGTAAAATTTGGTGCCCCTCCACCTCTCGCACTCCATTCTAAATAATAGTTTTGGCGTCCCTGGCAGCACCCCCAAACCTCTATGCCCCCCAAATCTGCCTCTGTCATTAATGCTGCCTCCCATGATGGTGCTCATCTTTCAGTGGGGTGGGTAGGTAGGTTTAGTCCATGGGTAGGCAAAGGCCCGGGGGCCGGATCCGGCCAAATCGCCTTCTAAATCCGGCCCGCGGACAGTCTGGGAATCAGCATGTTTTTACATGAGTAGAATGTGTGCTTTTATTTAAAATGCATCTCTGGGTTATTTGTGGGGCATAGGAATTTGTTCTTTTCTTTTTTTTTCAAAATATAGTCTGAGGTCTGAGGGACAGTGGACCGGCCCTGTGCTGAAAAAGTTTGCTGACCCCTGGTCTTGGTCCTTATTAATATATTGGTGGATGAGGATTTTATGTTAATCTGTCATCATTTTGAATTTTCCTGGCTTTAACTTGTTTTTGTATGCTGCATTTTATATTGTCAAGTCGTTCTGAAACCTTTTTTAAAAAAATAAAAGTGAGAGGCAGATGAAATTTAGTATTAAAAGAACAAGGATTTGTAACAAGAAAGTGGTACCTGAGTTTGCTTATTTCTTCTTCCTTCCCAATCCATTTTCCTTTCGTGTCATTTATTTTAGATTGTAAAACTGTGGGTAGAGGTTGTCTTGCTTTTATTGATTAGTAAGCTACTCCGAGAGGCACCCCCCCTTCCTCCTTCTTTTTATTTTCCTGAAGAGCCAGGGTAAAAATTCCTGAAACAAATAAAATGCTATTGCATGTTTGTTATGTGTCAGTCAGTTGTAGATCTATGATGACAGCAGCTAAGCAGAAGAGAAAGCCTTTCTTGTTCTGCCCTGAAGGGTGTGCCCAGTCACTCAACTGGTTAGATCATCTGTTACCTAAAACTTGGAGAGGAAGTTAGTTCCCATGAAGACAAGGCACTAATGATGGTGGTGAAAGCCAGGTAATGTGTGGGCAGGAGCTATTCAGTCTCATAATGAGAAGCATCATAATTTGGCTTTTGCTCTCAGCACTCATTCCTCCGCTTTCACTGCTGATAGACTTGGATAATAGCACTCATCTAGCTTAACAAGCATGCGTCTTCATTGACCTACAAGTAAAAGAGGCCTCTCCCTTGGAGGAAGTGTTCCGGCTAAGATAGCAGCTTTGCATAGCTTCCAAGAGCATCAGTGGAGGAAACGTACCTTCATGAGGAACAGAATCTTGTTTCATGTAAATAATAATAATGGCAGTTTGTACATCCTGAAAATAATATTCTTAGGTCACATGGATTACATCTCCAGCATGCTAAAAACAGCCTCAGGATGGGGTGGGGGTGGGGGCTTTGCAATGTAAGATTTTTGAATATATATATATATATATATAATACATTGATTTGAAATTTCAGAATGTGATGATTCAAATGTAAATTCATTAGATCATTATTATAAACCATTTAAGACAACATTTCCTGGTTGTTTAACAATGTTGCCACCCATTTGATGTCTAATTAAAAGCGACTCAAGCAGATTCACATCCCACATTTAAAGCACGTTAGATGCAGATTTAGCACAGGTGTCTCCTCCAAAGAATCCTGGGAATTGTAGTTCACATAGACACACTTCCCAGCACCCTTAATGAACAGAAGATTCTTTGGGAGAAACCATGTGCTTTAAATCATAGAGTTGGGAGAGACCCCGAGGGTCATCTATTCCAATCCCCTGCAATGCAGGAATTTCAACTAAAGCACACATGACATGGCCATCCGGCCTCTGCTTTACAACCTCCAAGGAGAGTCCACCACCTTTGAAGGGAGTCAATCCCACTGTCAAACAGTTCTTATTGTCAGAAAGTTTTCCCCAGTGTTATTTTTTTAGAAAACAAGGCACTGGAAATCACCATGAACGCCTCCCTTGTTATCTTATAATGCCACCTGAGAGATGCTAGAATTGAGTTCTGGTGAGTTCCAGCTGAAAAAGTCCTGTTTAAACACCATATTATTTTGGTTGACAGATTTGTTTCATTGATTGTTGTGTAAACCACTTCGTGACTATCCATGATGAAAAGCGTTCTATAAATAAGAATAACTAAAATTTCCTCATCCCCACTCTGTAGCTGCCGCACAACACGTTTCTGAGGAGAGTCTTTTCAGTGTGTGCAGGTGGAAGGAGACGGTGGAAAATCCAATATCTGGAAGCGCCCCAAGTCCCAGATATTCAGACCTGAACTGGAGGGAATTTTACCTTTTTCGTCTGCCTCTGTTTGAAACTTTGCTATCTTTCACAAAAGAGTGGCCGGTCTTTCCTTGTTTCAAATATCTGCAACATAGACCATTGGTTGTGGTTTTTTTGGGTGTCCCCCTTCCTCTTTCAGATTCATTTCCCAGTGACAAACTCAGCCCCAGGAATGTCTTTTCTGAGAAATGCTCCATACTTGACATATTGTCTATTATGCAGTAGCTTGAGTCAGCTTTTGGATGAAAATGAAAAAAAAACACACGTTGCTTCATCTGCCTTAAATAACAGCCCCCACTCCACACCCTTCAGATGTCTACATGCTTCCATTAACAACAACAACAACAAAGACATCTCGGTGCATAAATAATCGCAGGAGAGTTTGAGTCCTAAAGTGGGTTATCAGTACATGTTTGGGCACACACTGAAGTCAGCACAAGTTAAGAAAGACGAACACCTCCTACACAAACTGGAGACAGAGAGGAAGCAGCAGTAAGTTTGCACCAGATGAAGAGACCTGTCGGAACAGGACTGGACAAACTCAGTGGGCGGAAGCCATCCAATGAGCCAAAATGAGGCAACGTTGTCAGCAGTATGCTGATGACACTCAGCTCTATTTCTCCTTTACATCTGCAGGTGGGGCAGTGGAACTGCTGGACCTGTGTCTTGCCTCAGTAATGGACCTGATGAGAGCCAACAAACTGAAGCTCGGTCCAGATAAGACTGAGGCACTGTTAGTGGGTGGTTCCCTAGACCTAATGGGTGGGTGGTTGCCTGCTCTTGATGGGGTTACACTTCCTCTGAAGGAGCAAGTTCATAGCTTGGGGCTACTCCTGGATCCTTTGCTGACACTCAAGGGCTGAGGTGGCCTCAGTGGCCCAGAGTGCCTTCCATCAGCTTCGGATGGTGGCCTAGCTACGCCCCTATCTGGACAGGGATAGCCTAACTACTGTTGTCTATGCTCTGGTAACTTCAAGGTTAGATTATGGCAATGTGTTATACATCGGGCTGCCTCTGAAGATGGTTCGGAAACTTCAGCTAGTGCAGAATTCAGCAGTAAGGTTGCTCACCGGAGCAAGATGGTTTGAGCATATTACACCAATCCTGGTCTGACTGCACAGGCCTGGGCCTCATTCAAAGTGCTGGTTTTGACTATAAAGCCTTAAACAGCTCGGGGCCACAATACCTCCAGGACCGCCTCTTCCCATACCCAGACCCTGACATCATCTTCTGAGGCCCTTCTTTGTGTGCGGAGGTCCGGAGGGTGGCAACATGAGAACAGGCTTTATCTGCAGTGGCTCCCCGTGGAATGCTCTCCCCAGGGAAGTTCGCCTTTATGCACCTTTGTGTGCCTGGCAAAAACGTTCCTTTTTAACCAGGCCTTTGGTTGATTTGATTGACATCCTATGCCCTTTTAAAATGTGGGGTGGGGGGGTGGGGTTAATGGGTTGTTGTTTTTAATTTGATTATGTATTCTGTGGTTTTATATTTTGATTTTATTCTGTGAACCGCCCCAATATAGGGTGGTATATAAACTCAATCAATAATAATTAATAATAAGTGGGGAAAGAGTTAATGGCTACTAAGTGCTGTACTTAAAAACTCCTAATGTCACAGACTCAAACGTTTTCTCCCAAAACATTCAAACATTAAAGGAGTCTTTTGTGACCTGCAATGCAGGATGGCTGGTGAATGACATATATGTTGATTAGCTAAGCATGGACATCAGTGGAGAAAGTAAAGAATTTAAAGTAGCTGAGTGTGTCTCCCCAACCCCCCAGAGAAAAGCTAGAAGCAGAAAGAGGAGTTCCTACTCGGACCAGCTTGACACAGCAGGCCTGAGGTCAGTCTGACCAGGACTGCCCTACACAATATTTCAAAAACAGTGGACCATGGCAAATTACAGACAACTTCCCAAACTCTCATCAGGTTTCAAAGAATCAGTCTGAGTACCTTCTATTGTAGGCACTGCAGTTTACCTCTTACAGAATTCCCATCAATCCTGAACAAACTACAGTGCCCAGAATTCTGGATGGGTGGATGTGGGTGTGCTTTGAATGTAATTTAAAGGTATCATATGCATGCAAGCTCAACTGTACCTTGATTTTCAAAAGAGTTGATTGTGCAAGGCAATTATAAGTTTAAAAAAGCATTATAGCATGGGGGAAAGACAGTGGGGTGTCTGCAAAAATAGAGGCTAAGGAAACAGGCTGCAATTTTCAGGAAGAAGGGAGGGGGGGAGAGGGGAAGAAAGCCCAGCTGATAAACTGCTCATAGTATCTCTCTGTTGACAAGTAAAATAACCTAAGCTGTGACCAACAGAAACCCAGGAAGAGGAGTTTATATGACCAGTTCATATGCTACAATAACAGAGGAATCCGATGTCACACTCTTCTGTTTTATCAGCACAAGCATCCCAGCTGGCCAGACAAAAGAATCCCACCTTTCCTCCATCTGTGTGCTGTTCTGGGGGTTCTCCTGAGCCTTCCTAGAGCTAGTTTCAACGGCATAGGGGAGCATGCAGGGAAAGGAGAGGGGGGAACTGGTTGCACCAGGACAGATATGACACAGATTTCCTTCATATTCACATATGCTGATTCAACATGCACAGGCACAAATGATAAAATAATGAATTTGGGTCAGTTTCCGCCCTAGTGGGAGCCGGCACAATGCAATGGACCTTTCTTCCGAATTCCCCCCGAGCTCTGAGGTGTCAGGAGAATGGGGGAAGGAGAGGGAAGACAGATCACAACAGTGCAAATCTAAATTCCTACATATAATTTGAATGGAAATACAACTCACCATGGTGGGAAGACTGTGACCAGGTGGCTTCCCTCCTTCTTGTCTTTCGCCATTACATTGGACTTGGGCTCGACGGGCCTTCAAACAGAGGGCTCATTTAAATACCGATAAGTGTTGTCTACCACCATAAATGGAAAAATTAATCAGATCCTCTGTGTTCTGGTGAATGACTGAAGGTGTCCATATCTTCCAGCTCTGAAAAATTAGCCGGATATGACATGTATCTTAGTTCTGCACGCTAGGAATGCCAGTGTTTAATAGGGTTGCAGCTCACACGTGAAAAGACAACATGATTCTAAAATTCAAACATACACTCCACACCCAAAGCACACACTGTTGGGTAATTCAACATCAAGTACCCTAAAGTACTTTCTTGATGACCACACTGCCAGTATGGGAGGGGGCTGAATTCTTAGTCTCTGGGGCATCCAGTGGTTTTTGAACAGCTGTTGTATTAATCTGGTTTCATAGATCTGATATATAGCAAAGAGAAGTTTTCTGTTTTCCACACTTCACTGGATATTCTCTTTGTTTCTCTTCCTCCTTTGGCAACTGTACGACAGGTTGGGAGTTTAGTGGAAAGTTTCTTATAGAAGATAACCGTAACCTGCGATGTATGCTAAGCGCTTTTGAAGAATTCTAGGCCTTTGAGTTGAGGTGTCAGGCACCGAGCCAGCTTTTCAGGGAAGGTAGTAGCCTCACCTAATCAGATTATCATTCCAAAAGTGAAAACAAAGGAATAGAGACAGGAACTAGCCAAACCCTTCTATTAAGTGTAGCTGCTCTATAAAGCTCATTCCAAAGGGCTGTCATTTAGATGTATTATGAATGCAGGGCAGGGAGGGACATGTCAAACCAAAACAAAGACTCTGAGGATTGACTCTGAATTATGCTCTTGCACTCACAGTTTCCTCTTACTTTGTGATAAACCAGAAATGCATCAGACACAGTAAACATCAAAATAATTTAGATTTTGGGGCTAGAGTTTGTACCCTCTTAGGTGGGTTTTCCACAGCTAATTTTTACTAGTTTTTTGGATTAGGTGCAATCCCTTATTGCTGTCACTTTACACTTCATGCATCTGATGAAAAGGACTCTATGGTGTCATCACGAAGGGACATCATTGCGGGTTAGTATAGGGAAATTTTTAATGTTTGATGTCTCACTGTGTTTTAATACTTTGTTGGAAGCCGCCCAGAATGGCTGGGGCAACCCAGTCAGATGGGCAGGGTACAAATAATAAAAATTAGTAGTAGTAGTAGTCGTTGTTGTCGTTGTCTCAGCTCTGTTAATAATCCACAAATGTATTGCAGGGTTGCAATATGTCCAGAATTTCCTGGACATATCCAGAATACTGCAGCCTTAAGCAGTCTCCGGGCAGATGTAAGGAAAAGGAAGGAACATTTTATCTATGTGCTGGGAATGCAAATGCATTAAAAAATATTGGGGAATGATATACAATGAATTGAAAAAAATGTTTAAAATGAATTTTGTTAAACATCCTGAAGCCTTTTTGTTAGGTATCTCAAATCAAGAGTTACCAAAAGAAAAATGGACATTATTTATGTATGCTACAATAGGAGCAAGAATCTTGATTGCACAATACTGGAAGACAGAAGAAATACCATCAAAGGAACAATGGCAAGAAAAACTGATGAACTATGCAGAATTGGCTAAGCTAACAGACAAACTACGAGAGAAGGACAAAAAGGACTTCAAAAGAGTCTGGAAACCATTTACAGTTTTTCTGCAGAAACAACAGAATGGACTGGATTCACTGGCAGGATTTGAATAAACGTTCACAATTTCATTTGAGTAACAGATATTTTAGAGAAATGATAAGGGATTTTATTTTTGTGTAGGAAAAGCAGGATACAATAAATAAAACTAAATAACTCAGCAGAGGGGGAGTTGAGGGAAGTCCAGAGGAGGGGAGGAAGGATAATTGTATATAACATGATGAATGAGATTTGTATCATTATTTGTTATAAAATTCAATAAAGCAGTGTCAGAGCAGAAAATGTCCAGGAAAATCCGGATGTATGATGGCAGTGTTGTTTTTGCCAGTTTTCCTCAGGAATGGCTCAAAAATGTCCAATTTCTTTTGCAAAAAAAAACACACCAAAAATAACCAAAACCCTCAGCAACTTTTCTGTCCAGATTTCCCCTTTTTGAAATATGGGAACCCTAGTATTGGGGGCTTTAGTAAACTGAAAATATACTGTTGTTTAGCAGCTATATGCAAAAAGCAAATCATGTTACAGCTATAACTATCCTGTTATGTTAATTTCAGGCTACTCATACATTTTTACGAGGGCTGGCCTACCCATGAGGCAAGGTGAGCCGATCACCTCAGGCGGCAGGATTCACAGGGGCGACAGATCTTGCCTCAAAGAAACGCATCACACGCTCGTTGGAAGTCAGATCTGCCGCCGCCTTGGTAACGCCCACCCAATGCTGCCTCTACAGTGGTCTCTTGGTAAATAGGAGGCACTGCTGGTTTCTTCCCACACTCTAGGGAGGAAATGGCAGGGACTGCCCTCTGGGGTCTTCTGCACCAGCCAAGTGTGATCCAGAGTGGGCTCCTTTCCTCCAACAATGGCCTTGAATCCCAATTCAATTGTCAGGTAAGGTTGACTTGATTCTCCCCATTGTTCCCAGTGTAGATCTTCACTCACCAAAATTGGGGGGGGGGCACCATTTTGTAGGTGCCAAAATGTATTGCATCAGCCCTAACTTTTACCCCTTGTTTACTTCTTCAGTAACATGGCTGTATCAACCCCATTTTTTCAGTAGATGCCTTATACCACATTCTTCCACAAACCATAATTCTCTGTTCAGTTTACACAGTTTCAAGAGAACAGAGGACGCAGTCCTTAAAGTATTTCCTTTCACTTTTCCAACCAATAAATGGATTAAAGTTTATATCCATTTTGCAAGGAAAATGTGTCTGGAGCCCTACTAAAATATTTATCACTCACTTTTCTTTTCTTTTTTACAGCCGCTTTATTTTTAATGCAAGACTCATGGGAATTGGGTCACGTGAAATTCAGCTGCAGATTCCCCTGCATGATATAGTATTACCAGATTTGGTTCTATAATCTTTGAGAGTGCTAGCTGGATTAGCAAGCCGCTGCACTGCTTAGCCCCTTTTCAGAGCTGCAAGCTAGCAGATACCTTTGGCGACATTTGGGTATGTGAAAATGCAACTCAGCCACATCCTCACACAGGCAGGTGTAGAGCCCTGGGCCTACTCTAGACACCCTCCTGTAGCCACAGAGGTAGCTTGCAGCTTCAAACAGGAGGCTTTTGCTTAGAAAACACGAGAACGACAAATACATTCTGTCTTTTGCCTGGCCCTCCCCCTGCCATCCTCTCTGCCTTCTGTTCCTGGTCTCTTCCACTATTCCATCAAGGTCATGTAATCTTCTGCCTGGCTCTTTGAAAGGAAATTATTAAGACCCAGAGCCAGCCCCTAGCTACCATCAAACGATGGGTTTGCTTCCAGGTTGGGAGAGAATCCTCTAAGGCAATGTGTATGTTTGTGTGTCTCTCCTGCTTTGATCTTAACAGAGTACTAACATTCAAGTCATACCACTTGTGTATTGCATTGTTCTGTATTGTGGCTGGCTATGATTCTGCTTCACTGAGCAGTAAGCATGTGCAGCAAATATGCCGCATTCTGTTAACCTCTGTACATTTTGTTTATAGCATGAAAAGGAAGCAGGCTGTGAAAGCTGTGACAACCAAATGCATAGGGTGAGTGAAGAAGGAAGGCAGGAATCTATGCCTGAGCTGTCACTGGACACACTCCTCTGCTTATTTTTCTGGTTCCCCCCCTTGTTGGTTCCATGCTGCAAAGGAGAGGGAAGATTTGTTTGTTTGCATGCTCTGCCCATGCATACAGCAATCTTGCAGAAGATAAACAGGTCTAGTCTTAAGTCAGTGCCTGGATATGAAACCACCTTGGAATAGTGACCATATTGCACTCAATGGAGGAAAGGAGAGGTATAAGTTATATGTAGTATTTGTCGTGCCAACTGAAGTAAACAGGAATACAATGGAAATACATTATTTCATAGCACCAAGAGAAATTAGACTGCAACATCCAAAATAACAACCCCCAAATGCAAAGGAATATAATAGCAAACTTACCACACCAGAGGAAATACAGTGCCTTCACCTGGTGGTTACAAGTTGCCACAGAATGGAGACCACGTTCCCATGGGCGTTTACAAAAAGTCTTAAAATACACAAGTTGAAGATCTTGACAGAGAGGGTGCCAGCCCCAGATAAACTGTATTTTTAATATAAAAAACGTAAGTAGAAAAGCAATCAAATGTTTGGCATTCCATGAATCCTACACAACAGCTCCACTTCGTACCTCTTCCCTAGTTATCATAAATTATGAGGCCATTGCCGTAGCACTGGAACATCTCAACAATTTATCAACACTCACTGTGTGTACTATTCCCCACCACCACCGCTGCTTGTCAACTCTCCAGCAGAAGAACTGGTGCCGGTAGAGCAGTTATCACAATGACATGCTGTGAAATTGGCAGAGGAATGCGACTCCTACCAGAGTTGGCCCATGCCATTTTATTGCCCTCAGAGGCGGCATGTGCGGCAAGAGGCACATCCCAGAATAGTGAGGGGCTGGGAGACACACATCTCGAAGCATGCACCGTTTCAACGGTAACCCCTAAAACATTGTACCGTCCCTAGCAATTGGTTGTGTTGCTTGCACTCGGGCCCATTTGACCATGCGTACATCTCATCCAGGGATGGGGCACCTCATGGCCCCTCCAGCCTTCTCTGTTTGGTCCTCAGGACTCTCCCAAATCCATACACCCTCCTGAACTACACCCCTCACCAGCTCTACTTTGAACCTTCCTTGAATGTTTTCATCTGTCCTTGAACTCTGATAATGCTTCTCGCTTGCCTGGATGAAGGACAGAGAGCAGGTGTGGATGTACAGCCAACGGTACAAAGGCAAAACCTGTGTTTATTTGCCTCACCCACCACTGACATGTGGCCCCAGAAGGTCACAGGGAAGGCAAAATGGCCCTCAAGCTGATAAGAGTTCCCACATCTCTCCCACATAACCTAGTTTACTAGAGCCTAAGTTACTCATCATTACGCCCAGGCCTTTGCAAAGCTTGCCTGAGGCCCAGGGCTGGAGTCCCATAGGAATAAAGTTATAAACTCAAACAAAAAAGCAGCCAGTCTGGTTACATAAGCTGGCAGGACCTCTCGGCCAGCTTAGGCCTCCAAGGCCCAGGGCAAGTGTACCTGGCTGCCCCAACCGCTCTGCATGGGCCTGATGACGCCTGTATCTTTCTCTGGGAACTCCCTAGGCTGCATTGTTCCCAGTGGTCACAGCAGACATCCTGGCGACCCACCCACCCAAGGGATGTGCGGCCCACCGGCAGATCCTGATCCCTCCCTCGGGAATCCTCGCTACGGCCTAACGGCAGCAGCACGTGCAATATTGCTCGGCAGAGGCAGTGTTATCTGCATCAAAATGTCATCCCTTCGGGGATGTAGTGAATAATTATCTGAGTAACAACAATACAAAGAACAAACAAGAGACAGCAGGAGGAAGCGGAGCGGAAGAGTAAATGCCACAGCCTGATAAGGCTTCCTGCGACATGCACGTTTCCCACATGGGCACTGCAAGCCACGCTGCTTTTCAGGATGGTCTGCTTACCCATTTGCTACAGCAATAGAGATTAAGAGATAGATCTGAAGGGGAGGAATGAAGGGCTGCCCGTCACCCTCACGTAGCACAGCCTGCCTTCCTCACGATCTGCTCGCTGCCAGGAGCTATCTTGACAATCATCTCCTCCAACATCCTGAAGGGAGCTAAGATTAGGATGTCATATTGGGGCTGCGAAATCAAAGAGTGACGCTAGGAGGGGAGACAACAAAGCAGCGTATCGTAAGCTTAAAAGGTACCAGGGAGTCGGTGAGAATAACGTCGAGGAAGGAAGGAGACAAAACTTTTCAAAACATCTGTGGCAGGCAGGCAGGCAAGAGGTGAAGGGCACAGGGAACAAGTTGGTAAGGTGGGTAGGGAGCCCCATAATAACCCCAGGGAAAGCGAGGGGTGGGTTCTCTGGATGAAAGAAATGGGGATTTCTGAAGGAGAAGTTACATTTGCCCCATTGGATGCCACAGCGACTAATTATACTGGGATTAGAGGAGGAAGCCTTGTGGGAAAGAAAATAAGTGTCACTGGCTAGAATGGTTTTTCACTTTAGATTGTGTTCTCTGTGGCTCCTTTCCAGGACCAGAGAATTGCTTTGCAGTCAAACCACCTTGTGCTGTTATCCTATTATCTCTTATAGGCTAGGCAGGGTCAGGCCAGGCCAGGTAAGGAGGCCAGCAAATTACTCTCAGATAGAAAGAATGCCATGCTGGTTGTACAAATGAAAAAAAAATTCTTAGTGGAATACATTTGCAGGTTCAGACCCAGAGACCTCCCCCCTAAGCAAATTCACACTTGACTCAAAGTTTAGTTTTGGTTTTTGGCAGAATTTAGGCCACAACTTTATTGATTACAGAAGGTGAGTGGTTGCATAGGCTCTGGTTCGACTGGCTCCCTGCACCCTTGTAGGCAGCACTGACCCAGGGCACCAGCGTAGGTCAGCCAAGGGTGAACACTTGGGTAGGCGAAAAGCTGGGAACAGACTATGTTCACCACCCAGTTGCCGCCCTGGACTCAGGCACGGGCACAACCCCCTCTTGGGGGTTGACCAAACCAGTTGAGTCCCTGGATTCCTTAACGGAATACCCTTCACATAGGGATGGCGAGACCTCTCTCCCATCCCTATCACCTGAACCAATGCCTATCTGCCACACAAGCACTGCGCTCGCCACCAACCACTCACACCTGTAACCAATCCCTTAACCCTGCTGACACGGAGGTATAGAGCAGCCCATTGGCATGGCCTTATCCACATAATACGCTCCATCCAGTTGGAAGCCAAGCAACTTAAAATCAAGTGGATGGACAGGAAGTAAGCGGAACGCAGATTCCACATCACACTTTGCCAAAGTGCACCCTTCCCAAAGCTCCTGATCAGCTTGACCGCTTGGTCGAAGGTGGCATACCTGACAGAACACAACTCAGGAGGGATAGCATCATTTACTGATGTACCCTGTGGGTAAGATAATTTTAATTTTTTTGTGAAAAATTAAGGCTTTATTGCAAATTCAAAAAAGAGAGAAGACATTTCCGTATCAAAAAGAGGGCATCCGGTTGCTGGAAGGGGGCAGACAGTCGGAAATGGTCACCTTGCTATGTTGCAGTGCCAATCTCAGCCAGGAAAGGAGACAGTTGCCGTTATTGGCTGCTCACATTCACCCATTGGTCCTGGGGGTTGTCACTGGAGGTCATCTCAGCACTGGGGTCGCAGGATGGCAGGAGCATTATGCTCTCCGGAGCAGGGCTGGTGGGATTCGCGCCCGGGTTGTCCCCGCCACTGTCAGGCACCTCCTTGCCTGGCTGCTCACTCCCGTCCCTGGAGCAGTGGGGGTCCAGGGCCTCCTCCCCTGCACCATTTTCCTTCCTTGGATCCTCCTGCTGAGCTGGGTCTTCCTTCAGCATCAAGAATCCATCTTTCTTCTCCACCTCCAAATTAACATCGGTGTCGTTCTGAGATTTGTATTCTTTGCTGTCCGTCTCAGAGATGGTAGACTCATAAGTCAGGTCCTTGGGATCATCTTCATCCAGTAGTTCTTTCTGGAGAAGCTCAGCCCAGGAGAGTTCCTCCTCTAGAGTAACACTGTCCTTTTTCCTTTTGTTCCCTTTGCCTGATGGGTGGATGGAATGTCTCTTTGGGGACCAAATCCCGTTCCATGACGTTCAGATATCCGAAAGCACGCAGGAACCTCAGAGGAGCAAAGGCAAGGATGACACGTGCTACGGTTCCCAGCCGCTTCTTGGCGTGGTGCACAGGTCAATCCAGAGACTGTGCCAGGGATCCTTGGCCAGTGGGGGTCCCTGCAGGGATGGCAAGCTGAGCCCAGGGGAGGAACTTGCAAAGGAACTGGAACAGATACGTCAGCAGATGACAAGGGCTTCTTGCAAACCAGACTGTCCCCGGCACGGAAGTCTGTGCGGACGCCTTGATTCCTTCTGCTCCATTGCATGGAAAGCAATGGGGACAAACTCTGATTCAATTCATGGGTAAGATAAATTGTGAAATAAATGAAATTCCCCAGGGGCACCACACCCAATGGGGAAAGGTGTAAATCTGGGTAAGGAGGGCACTCAAATGGTCCAGCCATCCTTCTCAACACTAGTTCCTTCCTGATCTTTTTCCTGGCTATATCAGGCATCTCTCTCACTGATTTTTGATTTTGAACTTTCGTGGACCTAGGCCGGAATGAAAAGAAGGGGGTTTCCCGCCCTCAAACAAATACCCAACCAGCCTTTCCTCAAAAGGGCACACGGAAATCAATATTGCAACGAGGAGGGAACTCTCGATGCAGCAAAATTAGTCAAAGCGCTGAACGAAAGCACCCAAAGAGCGACAAACGCAAATTGCCCAAGTCACGTTAGCTGAAAAAACTCCAAAGCTGCAACCGCAGCCAAATTACAGGGACACCAGCCGCTATAAGAGCGGGCCGGCAAGCTCCTCAACCGGGAGCGCTCAGGGGCTGAGCCCCAGTGGAGCAAAGCCCCACTAGAAAAGAGAAGGAGAAGGGGGGGAAAGAAGACAACTGAAAAGGGGGAAATTAACGAAAGGATTAACAAAAGGGAAAGAATAATGGAAAGAAATCACCAAGACAATCCACTGAAGGTAAGTCTCTTGGCTGCACAGAGGACACACTGTTAGCTTGTTCCGAATGCATGAGCCAAAAGAGGAAGCTCTGGGTCAAATGCATAGGTCCCTCGATCGGTTTAGACTGCGCCCCATTGGCCAGATTGAAGCCAACATCAAGGGACCTACCAATCGGGTGCTGTGGCTGACCAATCCAACCCACCCACAACACAGGAGGTCAGTCTCCAGGTCTCACTGCAACACGTGCCCTCTTTTAGGGAGGATACAATTTATTAAGCCAATTAAAATATCACAAAATAGTGCTCAGGTTTTAAGAGTTCTCCCGCACTCTTCATCAGAGCAATGGGAAGGAGTGGGGGGAGAGAGGTTTTGTTTTTGTTTTTTTGCTTGAGAGTGAAGCCATGAAGTCTGTATCTGGCCACAGTTTAAAACATGGATCCAATTTCACTGATGCCCTGTCCCTCTCTCTGCACCAGCCAGGTAAGCGGTAGTGACACTGGTGTTGGGAGACCAGCTCCACGGTGCTGCCCCACCATGCTGGGTGCTACTGGGTGCTAGGCAGGTATCAGGTTGCCCCGAAGAAAACAAGAAGCGCAAGAATGACTCTGATTCCCTATCACTAAAAAACACAAGAACTGGCTGTTATCCAGGTCTGTTTCCATGCTTATTGTAGGTGAGACATACAGGTTCCTGGAGAGCTGGAAAACCGGAAACGAGAGAAATTAGGTAGTCCTTATACTATCAGGGCTGGCTGAGACAGAACAGCAAATGGTGTGCCCTCCCCAAAAAAGCACCCCAAAGATGACCAGACTATCTGGATTGCTAATACCAAAAATCCCATGTGCACCATTCCATGGGACCTCAAATACTGCCAAAAAAACCTCAGTCTGCATATACCCCATACATTTAAAGCATATGACTTACCCCAAAGAATCCCAGAAACTGTAGTTGCTTCTCAAGGAGCTATAATACCCAGCACCCTTAACAAACTACAATCCCCATCATTCTCTGGGGAAAGTCATGTGCTTTAAATGCATATGTAGCCTAAGAGTTTCCTGCCCTTTCATATTTAAAATCAACCACCTGAGGCAGCCATCTCTGTCTGCCTAAGAGCAGGGCCCACTTCTTAATTCTGCAGACCAGATCCCCTCATACAAGGCGCATGTCACCCACATGCAGTTCAGGCTGATTTTCCCCATCTTCAAAATGTCTACACAGCAACTCCAAAATTTGACTACTGTTATATATATACTGTTATATACTGTTATATATATATGATGGTGCTGTCTATTCAGAGGAAGGTGTTCAAAACCCACACTTTGCAAACCTCATTTTCTCAAGCACTTTTTCCTGCACAAAGAGAATTTGCCACATATTTTTCAGACATGTCTCCACGAGAGGCAGAAATTCAACAGCCACTGCTTTTTTCTACCATAGAGACTCACTGTTGTGTGGCATACAAATAGAATGATGATGATGGTGGTGATGATGATGACAATGATGTGATCAAAGATTCAACTATTGAATTTCTGCCTGTCATATGGTTCTACGTTGCCAGAAGCTGGGTGGGTAAAACAGCTGTCAACTAGTGTCAAATCAGGAGCAGATATGTCCTGAGAAGTGGACCTGACAAGCAGAGGACTTCACAGGAAAGAGATGTGCAAGATCAATTTCAGGGGAACTGCAGAGGAACAGGAATTGCAATCCCACATCCTGTCAGCCTCCGCCTGGGGCTTGCATCACATCTGAAAAGCATAACTGCATACATACCAAACATTTAAGGCACATTTATAGCACTTTAACAGTCATGGCTTCCCCCAAAGAATCATGGGTACTGTAGTTTGTGCCTCACAGAGTTAGAATTTCAAACAGCCTGAACAAACTACAGCTCCCAAGGTTCTTTGTGGGGAGTCATGTACTGTAAATGTATGGTTTGTACATAGTATAAGTTAAGACTGCCGCATGACCACTCTTCCAACAGTAGCCCAACACGGGTCTATTTATGGTGTTTTCAGCCATGTCCCTGTCTACCAAGCAAAGCTGGGAGGGGGGGCAAGGGGGAAGAAGCCTTGAAGTAACCGAGAGAGCCTGTGATTGCAATGCAGCACCTTCACGTGCAGCACTTCACAACAAGCATGTGCCAGTCTGCTATAAATACAATGTGTTGATTAGCAGAACTATTTACATGCTCTCATGTTTTCAAGGCTACAAATGTGTGCGTGTGTGTGGGAGGTGGAGGAAACTAGGCCTGCTACCTTAGAAAACCAAGAATTGAAATGTAGTGTTCATATTAAGATTATACTTCCTATACAGTATTCGTTTCCCCTCAGCTACAGCTACAACGTGGAAGGCAGGCTCAAAGTCATGTTTTGGCAATCAACATTTCTGTGTTACATGTCAAATAGCTAGATGCTTCTGCATGTTGGAAACACTCAAATAGTGACTGCCACCATGTCAGCTTTCAGAGAATTCCAATGCTGAATGCTACTGCATGTCAGGCTGCGTCATCTATTGGTGTCAGATATTGTCAAAAGCCGACTTCCATGTCAAATAGTAAGCTATAGCATGCCAGCTACCGAGACAGACTGCTTCTCAACAAATACTATTGCATGTTTACTGCATTTCTCTTTTCTCCTGCCCCATTGGTCTCTCCTTACCCTCATTTCTCAGCCACCCTTTCGTTTTTTTCTTTCCTCACAAATAAGCTTCGTTACCAAAATATAAAAACAAATAAGGCATCATCAACAAGTCACATTCAGTACTGCAATAACAGAATCAAATGCAAAATCAGGATCAATATTAACAATTTAAATAAATAAATCTCTAACCCACCCACCTGACTATCCAACAAGTGTCCCAGGCCCAGCCTGCCAATAGCAGCATAAACAGTAAAAGGCCTCCAACACATAATCAATAACACATGAAATGTCCTGATTTAATGAAAACTGAAGTACCGCAGCCAGAAATCCTGCAAACCCTCTTTTAGCCTTCAAGGCCCATGTCATATTTCCCAGGATTGACTTAAGCATGCAGAATTTCACTTCCTCTTCTCAGGGGTAAATTGAGCAGCCCTCGCTCACCCTCATTTTACCCCAATAAGGAAAACTCACCCACCCTGCAGAAAATACCCCACCCATTAATAGGTCCCAGGGTCGCCAAGGTCTCAGCTCCATCACCCTCTCTTCTCTTACCCATTTTTCTGTTCCCCATCTCTCAGCTACCAACCCTCACTTTTCCTGCTTCAGCCTTTATTGCCTGTTTCTCTCCCCCCCCCCCCCGCACCCTGCAAGCTTCCTTCTCACTAAACATGGCAACACGTATTCACAAAACATTCACAGTACCAGCAATTCCTACACAGTGAGAGACACTCAGACAGAGGTGAGCCATTCATACAACTTGGCTGGCTACCGTAGGCCAGAAAAACCAGGGCCACAAAACACTCTTTCCTGTGACCGCTAGGGCAATACCACTCAACTCCAAAGGTAGGGATCCTGAATGAGACCTAGCCATGTCAAAAATCCTTTCCTTTGAGTCACAAGCACAGCAAACGTGTAACATGGTGGTTATTGCAGGGTCCTCTTCAGATCAAGCCATTCTGAAGCGATGCAGCCTCTCTCGCACAGAATGTTAAGTTTATGCTTATTTCTTCCAGTTAGAGAGCTAAAAATAGCTGCTGTACTGTTCCAGAAAGACACAAGCTACTGCGAGGGGGAAAGAAACACTCTTACACACAGTTGATGCTAAATGCTATTATTAACCTGAATCCTGTCCAAGGATGTCAAGCAAAAACCAGGGAAGCATACCTGATTGAGGAGAGAATGCAGTCTTACTACAGCCAGTGAGACCAGCTGGAAATATATGTTTGTACTAATATGTGCTTTTTGAAAGCATCCTCAAAACCCCTGTATTTTGTAATATAGCAAGAAAGGCATGGAAGTAGTTTACCCTCCTCTGCTCATTGGTTTGCATCCTTCAAAATACGTCTGTGCCCTAAGCTGCCTGTGATGAAGTCAGTTTTGCACGCACACAGTCGCCAGTCCTTGCTTTAAGCACAGCCACACTGCAGGATAGTGAACCAGTGTTAACATTTGTGTGAAATTAAATTATTTTATATACGACTTTAGAATCATAATCCCTGGAGATCAAACATTAATATAAAATGATGTAAGCGTTAAAAGATCCTTCATCCAGAATGCTAAATTCATCCTCCAAACTAGTCAAAGAATTTTTTTAGGAACTACTGTTGCAATGTCCTCAAGATAGAAGGCACATGTGCTGCTGTATAACATGCTGGGTCCCTCCAGAACACCTGCCTATCGAACATTTATCCTGATTTGCTTATGTGGTTTAGATTAAATATGGTCTTTATTGAGCATCCATTTTTTGTGTGGGGGGGTTATGTGCAAATGAGCATTCATCCTCCTGATTTATTTGTGGGAAGGTTATCTATTTTCCCATCCATTTATTTGTATCCCACACTTGTTAGTATATTTCCTCATCACTGTTCTAAATGCAACAAGCCTAATGGGTGGTGTGTTTTACGTGGATTTGTTATACCTGAGTGCTTTCATCCACTTTAATTGTGGAAACCTTAATTTCCAGTATGTGACTGAATCCCTCCCACAAAATTGTGGCAATCTGGAGGCATCCTCAATGTGGGAAATGGTCAACACTCCAGCTCTCCCCTAAAAAAACCCACATCCTATTCTTGAGTTTCAGACTGGGCCTTAGAACAAACAGAATTACACTATCTTTTTTGAAATAATCATGTCTTTAGCTGGCTGGTGAGGCTTGTTTGGAGCAGCTATATCCAGGGGCACCCACTTATTCTTATTTCCACCTTCAAGTTGACTGACTGCTACCCTTCCCATGTTACAGAGGCTACACAGATGACCATTTCACATTTGCTTACCATGTAAACTTATTATTGTATACAACTAGCCAAACAGGAAGCCAGAAATCTAGAAATCTGGACTGCCTGAACAAATGCTGGGGGAACTTTTACCACCCCTGGAAGAAACTGAAATCTAGATTCCCTTTTAAAAAAATAAAACAAAGGCTGTCATTTGTGTGTTAAAATTCTCACCACCTGTCCAAACACTAGCTCCCTCAATGAATGTGTGTGATGCTGTAAGTTTACAAGCAGCTACTGTGATCAAGCTGTCCCAGTCCAGAAACTGTCATAGCAGGTGTAGCCAAAGCTGGATCCATAAGCACCTGCAGATTGTGTACGTCCTCATTCAGAGAGTGTGCAAACAATTTCTCAGCCACAGTGCCTTCACCTTTCTAAGATTCAAGCTTATCTTGTTTTCCCATATCCATCCCACCACTGCATCCAGGCACTGGTCTGTTGTTTACTATTTTGTTTCCTCAATTTGTTAGATGCCCCTTGCCTGCCTCTGCCCCTTAATGGGTGTATGGTATGGCCAGCATGATAAAACCGCTACTGGCGCACGGAGGACCGTGTCAATTGCCAGAGCACACGGAAACACCGTTTACCTTCCCGCCGCAGCGGGACCTATTTGTCTACTTGCACTGGCATGCTTTCGAACTGCTAGATTGGCAGGAGCTGGGATAGAAAGCAGAAAAAATTAACAGGCATAGACTTTTCCCCAGCCTGAAAATGCAGTGGAAATAGCCGCCTTTTCCCTCCAAAGTCAGCACCGGCAGGGAACGAAGTAGGGAGCAAAGTGGCCGTCACTTTGTCAAATCCAACAGTTAAATTACAGTGTAAGGTGAACCCACAGGGTGTTCACAGCGTTTCTGACAGGAATCAGCACATAAGGCAGGCAGGTAAAGCCTTGACAAGGACTTAAGCCGCCCTTCATCCCAGTCCGATTCCCAGGTGACATTCAAAATAAAACTCACCCTGCTACATGAAGCAAAGGGAGACATGGCCCTGTCATAGTTCAAGAGCAACCATTACTTTCAAGAAAGCTGATTCCTGTCAGGAACTCAGCATGTCTGTAAGGATCAGGCACCAGAAAAGCAGGATTAACCAAGGTGCCAGCTGCCCAAAAAGGTCCTATTAACTCATGTGTAAATTTTAGGTGTCAAACATCTTAAAATCTAGGCTCTGGCTGATTTACATATGTAGGCCATCCATATCCGCCATTGAAGTAGATGGCAGGATCCCAATAAACAGAAACCTGCAACACACGACTCCTGCCAACCAGTGTGTTCTCAGCCAGTGAGATGAGGTCAAGTCTTTCAGAATGGTTCTTTATGCTTTTTTTGGTTTAATCCAGCCCCCTTTCCCCCAGACTTTCACCACAAGACTGTCAAAATTATAAACGGCGCGTGTAACCAAATGCCATGCAAACACCAACCAGCAAACACCGGTCACGGTCGAAGCAATGTATTAAAGGCAAAAGGAATAAAGCGGCAGAAAGCCAGAGTGGCATTTGTGACACAGAGACATGGTTTTAAAGAAAAAATAATATTTATTTGCAATATAAACAAAGTCCCAATATTGGGTTCAGGATATATAGGGTCACACATTTTTCCTTCATAAACACAGAAAGCAAAACTGTCCCTCGCTAACAAATTCTCATTTATACGAAGAGGATGCATCTTTCTTTTTTCTTTCTTTCTTTTAAAAAAGACCTCCATTGGCACAGGAAGCCTTTATACAAACCAGCTTAACAAGATACAGATGCACTGTCTAAATCCCTGAAAAAATAAAAATTCCTCGAGGTAAGATTCAGTTAGGAGATTCCGCATTTGCTTGCTCATCCACACACTAAGCACTCCACACTTCCTGCCCCGATGACCCAGCAACCCCAACATTGCTAACATAAAAAAGGAACAAAAACGAACAAAACCACCAACAACAAAAAAAAGACAAAAATCATTCCGATATTCTGGTAATGTTTCTTTAAAAAATAAAATACACGCACACACACACACATACCAATTCTGTGATGCAACAGCATTAAAACATTCTTCCACATAGAGATTTATTTATTTTGGGGGGGGGGGGGAGTATAAAAACTGAATATTTTGAGGGGGGGGACTCCGTGGCTTTTAAAAAGTTACTTTGAGAGTGAAAGTGGAAAGGGAGATGAGAAGAAGGGAGGGGCTACATTGCAGGCAATGAAGTTTTCCCATGCCCGTCATGCCCTCTTCCTGGGGGTGGGGGAAATAAGCACCACTTCTCCCTCTTCCAGTATAATACATTAGTGAGAAATATAAACAAGTCTTCTTGTTGTAGAAGGCACAGCAAAGAAGTTACCCAGAAAAAAAGTTCACCAGAGAGCTCAAATGGGCTAAAGAAAAAATCCACGTTTCCATGCCCCTTTTCTAAACAGCATAATTCCATGCCCTCCTGTGGTTCATATGAGAGTTGTCCACTGGTTACGCACCAAAATGTCTCTGCTCTGCTCAAGTCTTTTAAAATAGCAGAATCAGCTGATTCTTCTCACACCTCTCAGCTGCGCTCCTCCCTACACACACACACACAAATTCACACACACAGAGACACAGAATTAAGTGCGCTGGATAAATGCCAACATCATTGAAAGTATTTTCATTGCTTCAGAAACTGGAATGAATTCAGGCCAGCTGGGTGATGTTAACAGTCATAATAGGCTGCACAGAGCAGCTAAGAGCCTCGAAACATGCCTCTACCAGCTCAGATGGAGGAGACTCAGGTAGCATCAAACTGGGGCCAGAGAGCAACGGGTGTAGGGTAGGGGCGAGTTGTTTTTTTGGCAAAAGGTGGTGTTTCTAAGAAAGCACAATGGCGCTTAGTCACCTTGGCTGATTCAGTGCAGAAGAGATTGTGAATGTGGGCATGGCAGAGAGTGGTATTATCACCAACTGGCCCTCACAAGTCATGAAAACGCCAACCAGATGCTAACAAGCAGCAGCAACAGGTGTCCTCCTCTCTCACTCACTCACTCACTTTCTCTCTCGCTCGCTCCCAAGTACCCAGTAACATGCCAGAATATATCAAGGCTTTACAAAGTGTGCAAAATGCATTTGGTCAATAGAAACATTTTGATTTTTTTCTCCTCGTCTTTTATCTAAAAACATGAACTCGAACAAGAACAGAATAAAATACTGGTTTTGCAACCTTGTCTGTACAAACTGTCAGGTACATACATATTTAAAAAGAGCTTGAACCCAAGAAGGAGTAAAGATTACCTCCTTTTCTTTTCTTTTTTTAAAAAAGTAAACTGGGTTTTAAAACAACAGTCTCAGGCCAACACTTATTGATCAAAGGTTGCCAAGTGCACGAGTTTCCTTTGCTTTCCACACTGAGCAAACACACACAAGTCGTTCTTAACGTGTGCGTGTGTAATACATGTATGTGTGTGTTTGCATGTGTGTGCAGTGTGTATCACGTCAGTCTCTACACACCCAGGAAAGCAGCTATTGCCAGTAACAGCTGTGTTCAGAATGCCAGGCCATCCCCCACATTAAGTAACTCTGATAAGGTAACTCCTCCGAACCCATTTTGATTTAGCATCAGAATACTAATAAATGGCACAAGCCTTTTCAGTAAAGCAGCGATTCAGACAGCTCTGCTTGGAGAAACCAGTTCTTTCAAGGATGGCTGGAAAGACTTTCCGCTTAATGGATTTGAAATGCTCAAAGAGAAGCGATTCAAGGCTTTGGGGGGGTGTCCCCCAGAGAAAATCCACTTCATGTAGACTCCAAAGTGTTCAGTGGAAACAAGTTGTGATTGGTTGGAGTGGTGAAGTAGAGCTGTTCGGTGGGGGAGCGGTTGTCACATGGGCTGTTGAGCCCCAAAGTTCTTTCAAAGTCCAGGAGCTGGCCCATGAAGTTAAAGTTTGGAGAAATGTTGGACTTTTTCCTTTTTACAAAGTCATAGGCATCATTGAGAGACAAGTTGAGCTTTTGCATTAAATAGGCAACAGTTACCGTTACAGACCTGCTGATGCCGGCTAGGCAGTGAACCAGAATGCCACATTTCTTAGAACGGGCCTCATCTGAAAGAGACAAAAAAGGGAGAGGTTGAATATGCTGGACCACAAGAAGCTGCCTCTCTTTAAACCAGGGCGAGATGGAAGCCCGCATCAAACAGCTTAGGTCAATTATTGCAACGGATTCATTATTCATCATCATCATCATAATACATGGATTTCAATATCCATGTATTGCTGGATAACTGGTAGTTTTCACCCACAATTCTTTGTATTTCTTCACAACTATATGCTTTCCTCAAGTCTCACATGATGACTAGTTGCATGAACAGTGGCAATCAGCACTGTGTAGTCAGAACAGTTTACAAATATTAGCTCATTAAATCTTGGCACATAAAGATGATGTAAGCATGGAAGTGTCATAAAACGGAGAAGATAAGGAAGCAAGTCTCTTGAGGAAGGAAGACAGAATTGTAGTTCTGTCTCTGGAGTTCCCTGACTCTTCTTAAGACGTAGTTCAGGCCATTCTTGCTTCAAATTTATTTCTGGTATTAAGCAACAGCTAGGTGCCCAGCTGCAACTAGTCAAACTTGGCAGCACTGACATGTGTCAAAATACAACCACTAAGGCCAAATCTGCTAACTTTTTGAGGTCCCTTTTATTTTCGGAATCAGCTTCAGATGCTGCTGAAAAACTGAAGCTTGCTAAATAGTTGTGGGGTGGTTTTTTTGGAAGCAATATAGCAGCAGAGCTCCACACACAAAGTTATCATCGATTAATAATTATATTCAAGCAGACGGCAGCAGGGAAAGGAAGGTGAGATGCTGTTTAGTGGCAGACACAAACAGCTTTCACAAGCTAAAAATACTATCGATGACTGACTGCAGCATGTATTTAAGGTACATACCTACACCTAACTGACACAGGCCAGTGTCTCTTCCCACAGCAGTCAGTTTGAGGCTGCAATCCTATGTTTGTTTCTCTGGGGTTAAACCCCGCTGAACTCAGAAGGACTTACACACACACACCACTGCACAGTGAATATGCATGTTGACCCATAACAAAGGCCACACAGCCCTAAAGCACATTTATGCAGAACTACATTCCACTGATGCCAAAGAGACTTACTTCAAAAGTACATGTTAAGGCTTGGCTGTTAAGCCCGGAAAAGTTTACAGCCTAACTACCTTAGCCAGAGACGGAAAGATGAGATAGCCAATGATAGCAGGGAAATAAAGAATGAACAAGTTTGACTTCTTAGCCCGCATTATTGTAGAAGTCACGAAGCAGTGCCAGGTGACAAGGACTGCTCTAACACAGCCTCTTTTCAAGCAAAATAAATTTCCCAGAGGTCTTCTGGTGTCCTATTTGAACACTGCTTCTTTCCCCCTCTATTTAGTCTTATAGTGAATGAATGAGGTAAGCATTTCCTGTCATAAAAACCAAAGCAGAGTGTGGTTTTCACAGAAGGGATGTTTTTTTGACTGAGCTGGTGTCTAAATACCATGCTCCCCTCACATGCCTTTAAGCAAAAGCAAAATGATCTACTGATAAGAGCAATAGAAGAAATAGACTTTTTCATATTGAGGTTTTGGGGCAGTACAAACCATCTAAGCTTGTACTTTTCCCCATAGTATACTGATTTAGAGAACACAGAACAGAAGCAAGCAACTTTAGAAGCACTGCGGCTTTCAAGCCTACAGTGCAGTCAAGCAGACCAGCACTTGTCCACTATCTCAACAAAACAGCTCTCTGGTTTGTATCCAATTAAGTCATGTTTGCAGTACACCTACTGAAATCAGTGGACAAGCAGGTTTAGTCATGACTAACTTTAGTTCAATGATTTCAGTGGGTGTATTCTGAGTAGTGGGTGTGCATTCTGACTTAGCCAGAAACAAACTCCTGGACTGTCGTATTTTCAACTTTAGGGCACACAACTTTGTTAGGTAAATATGAGCCATTATCTGGCAGCCATATATCTATTCCTGCATCACAAAAACAATTCTGGAAAGCTAGAACAATCCTAGAAAGGATCCATTTGGACACTGTGTTTCCAAGCACAATTCAAAATGCAATGCCAATAATGTCCTACATACTTCTTGAGACCAATGTGGGAATTAAAAAAAACCCCAATAAAAATGTCAATAAAAATGTTATTTCTCTGGTGCTGAAGAGACAGTAAAGTTTTCTCCCTGGGGAGAATACTACAAAGGAAGGGTGCCACAACTGAAAAGACCCTTTTTCCAATTGTCATCTGCCTCACCTTAGAAGGCAAGTGCATTTAAAGAAGGATTTCTGAAGATGACACTTGTGAACAGGCATGTTCATATCAGAGAAGGCACTCCCTAAATGACTGTGTTTTTATCTTGCTCATTCTTGTCATATTAATTGGCTGAACTTAATTTATTTAGATGTGCCCATTCTCATAGCATCTATGAGCTGCCATGGAAGCAGAAACGCTGAGGGGCAGGATCCAAAGTTTTAAATAAAATACGTTTTAGGTCCTTTGGGGTTATGATCAGCATAGGGATTTTCTCTCCAAATAGCAATCATAAACCCCTGTTCAGGGACTAGCTACTTTACACATGCATGCCCATCATTTTACGATGGGCCAGAGGTAATTTGAACGAGTTTCTAACACAGAACTTTCATCTTTGTTCACATGTTTAGCTTTATCTTTAGGAATCAAGGAACATGCACAACATGAGCAAAACAGCTCTTTCTTTTTCTCAGTGGTTTTCTAAATGTGTCCCATTAAATTTTGGGGCTCACAATGATGTGAAGACTAGGAATGGCAGGCAGCTTTCTCTGAAAGGCAGATTGCCCAGTTCTACTGATCTTCCCCTGCCATCTCCTGGAGCAGGTAAGTGGTGTGTGTCCCCCAAGGCAAGGATGGAGAGTTTCTGGCCCTTCAGATGTTTTGGACTACCAACCACCACCATCCCCATCCATCGGCCATGCTAGCCATTCCCCATCTTTGTTCTAGGGAAAGGTGTCAGAAGGAGTGGTTCGCCAGGTGAGGCAGAGCTGCTGCAACAGCTTCCAGCAGCAGAATCACTGTCGCTCACTGAGAAGGGAGAGGCAGGGGTGGGATTGCAGATGCTCAGGTTCCACCCACCCACAGCCTCACTGCCCCCTCACTGCTTGGCAACGCTGCCAGGAGACTATTGCCGCAGCTCGCCTCCAATGGGTAAGTGGATCCTGGTTCTCAGGTGGCACATGGTGATGGGGGGGCAATAGGCAATACTCCCTGTGTACGCACTGCAGAACATGTCTGTAAGCATTTGCAGCACACAGGGGCTTCCACAACAGATGTTTAGCAGATACTGCCTTGTGAAAAGTCTTTCCCCAAAGTCTAAAGCTTAAAAATGCCTGCTTTATCTACTTCCCAAAACACAAAGGAGCTTTCAAAAAGGTATTCCGTTTTCAAAGTTATTGGACCCTCAAATTTACTCATATACAGCATGAATAGGAAACCAGGGACATATAGTATCATAACATTTAAACAAAAATAGACCATTTACAGGGCAACCCTACATGTGTCTACTTAGCCAGAATCCCCAGGGACTTCAATGGAACCAACTCCCAGGTAAGAGTTTACAAGATTTCAGCCTCAAAACACCAGCATGTAGTTTGTTAAACAACATTTAAAATCTCTGCAATGTAACTTAGTTTCGCGGCAAATATAATGCCCACAAAGGTGGAAATTATAATTTAAAGCACAGCCCTGAAGCCCCAGAAAAAAACAAGCCATCTTTAAAACTGTTCCACCACAGCCAACTGAAGCAAAGCTTTTTGATTTTGAAGTAAAGTCTGAAGTAGGGAAAATCAGTGTCTGACACTGGCACAATCACTAGCTACCAAAATTAGGAGGTGTAACATGTATTGCATGGAACCTAACAGTGAGCAGGTACTGAACCCCCAGGACTAGTTATGGAAAACTACTGATTGCTAAAGGGGCTGGTCCGCCGAGAACAGGATGTCCAACACCTACCAATGAAAGCAATGGCCTCGGGAAAGAATTGGGAGAGATTCTGACTCCAGTGATCCGAGATGGGAATCTGTTTGTACTTGAATTCTCCGTCGTGCTCAAACATGTTGGGGAGGTTGGGAGTAACGTTCAGGATGTACTTGATGCCGTATTTGCCCAAGACATCCAAGTTGGTGGAATCTTTGGCACAACCCAGGTACAAATAGGGAAGAATCTGGACAGGAAAGGCCGGCTGGTTGTTTGGGACCGGGCTCCCATCGGATTCCGTGGCACTGCTAGGCTCCCTGTCCGATTCCCCATCCGAACAATCGGAGCTGATCCTCAGGCCTCCGAGACCAAGGACAGATGTAGGAGGAGAGTTGGTAGGAGATGAAGTGTCAAGATTGGTTTCACAATGCTCCGAGTATTCTGTCTGAAATTTGTTGAATCCACCTGCGGAGGCGAAGAGAAAGCGCACTTTAATATCACTTGCATCCTAAAGCTACCAATACCTGAATACTTATTCATTACCAGGAAAAGCCACATATTTTAGCCATCTGTTTCCTCCTTAGCTAAACGCACCCTGAAAAGTCCATTTACCTAAATTATTTGCTTCAAGCGTATGGTCTGAATTAGGCCCAGATTGGTAGCATGCTGCTCTGTGTACAGTCACGTGGGGAGGAAAGGCAATGGCTCCTAGCACTGCATCCTGTGCGAGGGGAAGGATAGCTCAGTTGGTTAGAGTGTGGTGCTGATAATGTCAAGGTTGCAGGTTCGATATCCGTTTGGGACAGCTGCATATTCCTGCATTGTAGGGGTTTGGACTAAATGATCCTCAGGGTCCCTTCCAACTCTACAATTCCAACCAAGGGCTCAAAAAAGCACTGGCACTGCCATCCTATACATGCCTACTCAGAAGTAAGTCCCATTGGGTTTCATGGGACTTACTTCTTAGCAGGTGCCCGGTTTTCGCACCCTCCTCTTCAGTGGTAATTACAGTTGCCAGCTCACCACAGCACAATCCTAGCCTGTTCACGTGTGACTTTACACAGCAATTTAATATCCGGGAAGCAGCCAGTGAAAGTTTTCATAGCATGGAGATGTTTTAGGAACTGCTAACGCCTGCAGACCAAGGTGCTGTTGAAGCACAGGAGCAGGGGCTCAGGAAAAAAGTTGGCAGCCTCAACAGAAGTGCCAAGACAGCAGGAAATTTCAGGTGACTGCTGCAGTTTTCACTTGATCACACATCAGTTGCACTCGTATTACTGAAATGTGCTGTATGGCTCCACCTTTTCGTTTTGCCATGCCAGGAAAATGCTCTGAGGTGAGAAATCTGTGCCTCAGTGTAATCTTTCGAGATGTAATGAGGATTACATGACGAAATGTTCGCCAGTTTAAAAACCAATTCCTGCATATCAGAAAACTAGACTATCAGGGAGAAGAGTAAGCTTCAGCCTTCTCCCAGACATTTAGCTTTCTACATGTAGGGTTGTTGCTGCTTTGCTGTTGTTGTTGCTGCTGTTATTTGCTAAGGGGAGACATTCAATCATGAAAAAAACACTTCACCTATAGTCTGAAGCAATTAAATCCACAAAAACTAGTATCTGACTACCTGCTTCTTAAGGAAGAATATCCTAAGCACATATTTAACATATGCCATGCATGCTTGACTTGAGAAAGAAAAAAGTGGGTGGCAATATTAACATTTAATAAAATTATAGAAATGATGCCTGCCATTTTTCTTCTCCCACCCCCTCCCCCAGAGGGCTCCTGCGCATTTAAGATGAGCAGAAAATCAGCAGCTGCCACTTCCTAGCATGAAAATGCAGTGACAAGAAAAGCTTCACCTGTTGAATAACTAACTGCCTGTCATGTAAATGGCTAAAAGCAAAGGGGGCGCTGTTGGGCGGCGGGGCTGGGTGGGTGTGCATGTGACAACTCTCACAGCAACTCGGCTTGAAAACAAAAGTTAATTTCCAAGCAATGAAAACTTCATTAAGGAGAGCCGGTTCAAATAGAAGGCATTGTAAGATCTAATCTCGAAGATATTGCTCAACATGTGCGGAAGGTATTAAGATATGCTGGGGCCAGTGAGGGTGAGGAGGAGACAGGAACAGAAGTTTCCTTTTTCAAAATTATAGAGTGTTTGGCCGCTGCCCGCTTATCACTTGGAACAGCAGCACAACTGGAGAGCTCAGAAAACAACCCGTCACCGAGTTGAGCAACTTGCTCCAATATTGTTTAAGTAAACTCAAGGATCTATTGAATGTGCAAGTAAAGGTCAGGAGTAAAACCATTCCTTCTAATCATTTCTCTTTTGGCGCCTCTTTCCGACAGAGCAATTAGACAAGAAGAAATTTAATTTGCTCCTTCGTGTACATTAAGGAGGCATTTAGCAGTCATTACGTGGATCTGATAAACAGTGTCATTACGAAAAGTCTCCTGGAAATTCCAGGGGTTTGGCATAGTTGTGGCAAGGTCACTGAGCAGCATACACATCCCCTGCCATATTCATTCATGAAGGGAAGAGAGGGAGAGAGAGAAGGTTCCCTTTTTTTCCCTCCTCAAGGAGAAAGACAATATGGAGAAGCCATTTTGGAATTTTAATTGGAAACATTTCCCACTGAGGCCCCAGAAAAAAAGCGAAGCGAAGGGAAAGCAGCAGCTTAACTCCTCCTTTTCTCCATTGCATGCGAGTTTAAAGGAACTAGGGGGGAGTTAAGAAAGGAGGGAGATGCCAGGAGTACAGAATTCAGTTTAAATAACGCGGAACCCTCATGAGAACTATTTAGGATCTTGAGAAAGGAATGGGAAGCACCAGTGCATTTCTGTCCTCAAGAGAAGCTGAAGAAGTTAACATGGCAGCATGAGTTCAGCTACTAAAAAGAGCCCTGAAACCTATAGTAGGAAAGAAGAGGACCCAGAATCCCCAATAACAGTTTCATCCTCCTTCCTCTGCACCTCACATATACTGCCCTCCTACCATCAGAAATCCCGTAATCAATCTACCAGTCTATCCATCCGCCTTGTTGCAAGTGACAATATTGATTTGGTGTTGCCTACTGTTCCTGCCTCAATCCTGCCGCCCAGTGACCACAGCAGTGTTGTGGTGTGTGTGTGTTTTGGGGGAAGCAAAGTTATTATCTTCATCCTGGCAGGCTCACTCAGAACGACTGTTTCGACTGCTTCGCAATGCCCCTCTTTTTTTGGGGGGGGGGGTTGTTTTAGGAGATCTGAATGGAGACTTTATAGTGAACTAATATCTCAATTCAAAATGCACTTCATTCAGAGATTGAGAGGCATAACAGAAGCATGGCACAGAATGGCACCAGAGAGGTAATTTAATTCAACCCATTGCCCAAAGGCAAGCACATCCAATCAGTCAACCCTTCACCAGAAACACACACACCAGGAAGCACTGCTAAAGCACCTGGATCTAGTCTCAATGCACAAGATCAAACTTGGGGAGGGGGGGGTGCAAAAAGAGATGGAGAACTGCATATGATCAATACACCCACCCTTCCCACAGTTGTGGTTACTGGCCTCAAATAACCGCATGTTGTGAAAGAAGTATTTTAGGGGAGATTGTTGCCACTGTGTGAGAAGTTAGACCTTTATTTAATTTTCTCCGTCTGTATAGAGGAGATCTCCTAAAGGGCAACTAAGGAGGGAAGATCATAGATCCACACCAGGTGGGTGGACAAGGTGGGAAAACTAGGGATGGTGGTCAGGAAGAGGGAGGAGGGACTATTCCAAAACAGATGCTCACAAACCGGATTTCAGAATGAAGAGGTATGGAGGATTCACTCGGTGAATAGACCCTTTCTGCCCCATTCATAGATATGGAAGAATCGGGCAGGAATAAGACCTTACGTCGCTGGAACAAGGGAGATGGGAGGGAATAGTGTCTCCCACGCGAGAGATTTGTACCGCGCGGGGAGGGAGGAAGGGCGGCCGGCCGGCGGGAAGAGGTGCAACAAGAAGGGGAATCCGAGGGTTCAGCGGCCAATATCTGCCCGTACTCGGCACATGAGACCATTTTGAAAGGCGAAAGAGCAGGAGCACAATCCTTCGCCAAAACGAGAAAGCTATAATCGCCTTTAAAGGGTGGGAAAAGTGCAACAACAGACCAGAAGTTTCCTTCCATTATTATCCCTGATTTCTTAAGGGCGGCATTCCCAAAACACACTACAACGGGAGGCGAATCCTCAGGAACTACGGAAGAGGGGAAAAGCTGCGATCCGGATCCGGATCCAGTCTGCATGGTGGTGAGAGATTAGGGGCGGGGGGTGGGATTGCTGTTAGGCGGGAACCACGCCGGTCGCTCCGATGGGGGTGTGCTGCTAGCTAGCAGACCAGAGCTATCCGGGTGGGGAGCTTCCCCACGCTGCTCAAATCGATCTGACCCCTGCCCGTCTCCCTGCCAGCCCCGTCCACAGTCCCGCGCCCCCGGTACCTTTCAGGTAGAACGCCTTGCAGCCGTCGTCGCGCAGCTTCTGCAGCAGGAGCCCGAGGACGGAGCTGGGGGCGCCGCTGTCCTGCTGCCACTCGGCCGTGGCCTCGTCGTAGAGCAGGACGGTGTCCGCCTTGCAGCGCTTGGCGAAGCGCTCCTTGTCCTCGTTGTTGGGGATGATGGAGCGGATGGGCAGGTTGCCCTTCTTGAGGCGCCGGAGCATCAGGCTCGGGATGGCCAGGTTGATGGCGGTCTCGATGTGCGACGACTCGAAGAGCTCGTGCGGGCGGCAGTCGAGCAGCAGCAGCGAACTGCCCCCGCTCGACTCCAGCTCCTCCTGCAGCCACTCCGCGCTCTTCCACGGCATCGCCGCAGCCATGGGAGCCCGCGGGGTGCTGCCCCAGATGTGATTTTTCATGAGGATCGCAAGGGGTGGGGGAGGGCAAAATCGCGGGGGGGGGGGGAGCGGAGGAGGAGAGCGGCCGCGCGTGGAAAACAAATCACTGGCGCGGCGCGGGGGGGAAGGGGAGAGAGGAATGCCCTCTGCAGCCTACTGTCCAAATCACCGAAGAAGCAAAAGAGTTAGTTCAAAAAAATAGGATCGTTGTTTTAAAGGGAGAGAGAAAGAGAGAGAGATCCGGCCAAGGAGCCCGCGCTGCTTTGGAGATCCAAGCGCTCCAAGCAGATCGGCGTCCGCGTTCCCCTCGATTTCCTCGCCCGCAGCAGAGAGACGTTTCCTTCCACTTGCAGGAGCAGAAGGCGGGAGGGAGCGGGGGAGAAGAGCCTGGCTCTGCTCGTGCTTCTGGGATGGTGGAGGCGAGGAAGGCGCCGGCCAGGCTCTCGGGGCTGCTGCTCCTCCTCCTCCCCGGGAAAGGCTGCTTTCACTTGGTTCGGTTTAAGGCGCTGCTGCTGTTGCTGCTAGAAGCGCCGCGTCGCCCCGCTCGCTCCATCGCGGGCTCAGCCTGACAGCCTCAATTAAAAAGGGGCTTCGCCATCGGATCGGCGTGTCATGCTCTGGGAGGCGGGACTCGGCGCAGAGGGAGGGGCCAGCGGGGCGGAGAGGCCCGCCTTAAAGGGAAAGCGGCGCTCTTGCGCTCGGGCAGATGGCTACAAATGTCCACTTGCAACTAGCCAAGGCGTGTGTCCCGCCCCCGGTCTCCCTGACTCGGCATCCTTAGAAGCACGCTTCTTTCTTGCTCCGTTCTCCAGTGTGTGTGTGCCAAGTTTATTTAAATGATGCTGAAATAGGAAGCCCCGTTGAGCTCCGTGAAATTTGCCTCTGGGAATAAAGGGGGGGCTGTGGAATGGGGGGCGGACGGCGGACCCATAGGATCTCACTCACATCTGGTCCAAGGAGCGTCTGCAATCGATTCCACCAGAAGGGAATGCTTTTCTTTTTCCTTACATTTGTTTAGAATAGTTCAAAGCCCCTGAAAAGTCCCTAGCCTCGCTTTAAAAGGAGGAATAAGAAGGGATCGTGGCTGAACCACGTAAAGTGTTCCTACCTTAATGCAACAGTGTTTATAGACTAGTTGTTATCACTCAGAAAGGGAGAATCATAATAATACTTGTGGGCAGGGGAAAGAAAAAAAGTATTCAGTCCCTAGTCCTAGAGACATTTCAACGCCACCGCTTCAGCTTCAAGTGATTTATGACAACAACCAGCTTCCTCACATCAATAGACTGGGGCTCCTGTGAGGTTTCTTTTTCATGTGATTTGAGGACTAGTACCATGAGCCAACTCCGCCAGAGATTATTATGATTGCCTCTGTGGGACCAATAGTAGGGTTCCGTCGGGAGCTTCAGTGCGCCTCTACACAACGTCAGGTTATAATGAGCGGGATAGTCCACGATGCGTGCAAGGGCTTAAATATAATATACGGCTTCAAACCTGGGAAAGGCAGGCGATGCTTGCCCCAGGAAACGACCAGAATTGTCCCCAGAGAGCTGGATGCTGGAAGGAGAATGATCGCATTATTCAGACAAAATAAATAGTAATAAAAAGGAAATAAAATATAAGCGGGGGAATAGAACGACTCGGCTTTCAGTGTTATTGACCGGATTCTGATTCTACATTCATACTGAGTACTTGATTGACAACCTGCTCCTCATGCCTTGCTGCTTTATTTAAATAATAATAATAATTTCCTTCTTGACTTTCGCCTTTTAACGGGGCGCCAATGAGCCGCTTAGGTAGGCGGTGTTGGAATGTCAGAGGCCTATCAGGGGAGGGAGGCGGGGCTTTTAGAATCTTGTGTATCAAGTCGCTAAGCGCGGGAAGGGGGACCGGAGGAAGTGAATGGAGCAGCGAAACTAGAGCGGGCTTGCGCAGAAGGCCAGCGGTTAGCCTTCCTGGGATTATCGTGCGGTTGATTCTAAGGCATTGTGAAAAGCGAGGCGATGCTCCCCCGCCCTTTGCCTTTGCTTCCTTGCATGCTGATGCTATTCAAGGCGTGCAGGCTTCGGCATGCCCCGATGGGCAACTCGGGGCCTCCTCTCACAGAAGCTTTTGGTGATCAAGGTGTTTTTAGTGCACACCTGTAAATGTTAGGTATGCAAGAAACGCGTGTTTACTAAAGTGCATAAAATAGGCAGATGAGTCACGCAAGACGCTGGGGTTGGCTGCAGCTGCCGGTTTTGTAAAAAAAAACCTCAACAACTTGCTGGCAAGGCTGAGTTTGAATGGGGTGTGAAATGGCCCTTAGGCCTTTTTACTTTTATACGTTGTTATGCAAATCAACACTCTAAAGCAAAATGAGTAATTTCTCTTCAAAGAAGAGCATCCTGTTCACACAGTGGCCAGTCAGGTGCAATAGAAAACCCGCAAGCAGGATCTGAGCACGGGAGCACTCCCCACTCTTGTTTTTTCCCAACAACTGGCAACCAGAAACATTGCTGTCTCAGTAACTGTGGAGGCAGAACATAGCCATCATGCCTTGTAGCCATAATAGAATTGCAGAGTTGTAAGGACGCAGGTGGCGCTGTGGGTAAAACCTCAGTGCCTAGGACTTGCTGATCGCATGGTCGGCAGTTCGAATCCCCGCGGCGGGGTGAGCTCCCGTCGTTCGGTCCCAGCTCCTGCCCACCTAGCAGTTCGAAAGCACCCCCAAGTGCAAGTAGATAAATAGGTACCGCTTTATAGCGGGAAGGTAACGGCGTTTCCGTGTGCTGCGCAGGTGCTGGCTCGCCAGAGCAGCTTCGTCATGCTGGCCACATGACCCGGAAGTGTCTTCGGACAGCGCTGGCTCCCGGCCTCTTAAGCGAGATGAGCACGCAACCCCAGAGTCGGACACGACTGGCCCGTACGGGCAGGGGTACCTTTACCTTTACCTAAGGACGCGGGTGATGCTGTGGGTTAAACCACAGAGCCTAGGACTTGCCGATCAGAAGGTTGGTGGTTCGAATCCCCACGATGGGGTGAGCTCCTGTTGCTCAATCCCTGCTCCTGCCAACCTAGCAGTTCAAAAGCACGTCAAAGTGCAAGTAGATAAATAGGTACCGCTCCAGCGGGAAGGTAAATGGCGTTTCCGTGCGCTGCTCTGGTTCGCTAGAAGCGGCTTAGTTATGCTGGCCACATGACCCGGAAGCTGTACGCCGGCTCCCTCGGCCAGCAAAGCGAGATGAGCACCGCAACCCCAGAGTCGGTCACGACTGGACCTAATGGGCAGGGGTCCCTTTACCTTTACCTAAGGAGCCATGAGGATCACCTAATCCAACCCTCCAATGTAGGAATCTTTTGCCCAACGGGGTTCAAACCCATGACCCATTAATAGTCCCATGCTCTACTGACTGAGCTATCCATAGCCCTCTCCTCCACGAATCTCTTTGAAAGACATCTAAGTTGGTGGTTATCACTGCCTCCTGTGGTAGAGAGTTCCATAGTTTAACTATGCACTGTGTGAAGAACTACTTACCTGTCCTTAATCTCCCAGCATTCAACTTCATTGGATATCCGTGATTTCTAGTATTACGAGTGAGGAAGGAAAATGTTCCTCTTTCCACTTTCTCTAGCCCATGAATAATTCCGTACACTTCTATCATGTTGCCTCTTACTCACTTTTTCTCTACCTATTCTGGTGCCACAGAGCAAGGAAACACAGGTGAGGTTTGTTCCTTCCTTTATTTCAGTGTCAAATGGTTGAAGGCGGAGGGAACACCTTGTAAATAAACAAGCAACACTCCTACAGATATGGGAGAACTGAATAAACATTTTGACGTTCCTTGACATCATCCAACCCGTGGAGGATCAGAAGGTTCCCCCCCCCCGCCCCCAATTGGTCCTATAAAAAGCATTGACAGGCTTTGTGTTTCTACTGCTGCTGCTACTTGCAATTTCTAAAGACACGGTGAGATGCAAAAACATGCAGCTTGTTAGGCCACATTGGGCAAAACGTGGCATAGATTTGCATCCAGTACTGCAGAAGTGGAAGACAGCTCACTCAGAGTATTTTCTCCTCCCTTCCCCCACCCCCTGCATTGCTCCCCCTCAAAAACAACTCCACTGCGTTAGGTGGACTACCAAACATTGTGGACTGTGTCTTATGGGACTGTATTAGGTGAGCGGGTGCAGGAGTAATTGCCCCAAACTGGGCATAAAATTATTGTACCACTTTGCACAAACCTCCCAAGTTTATGTGATTTCCCCGTACAAGAGAAAGGAGAGAAAGATGCATTGTGCAAGCTTGCCTTCTGCTCACATGACATTGAATACAACCTATAGCAATTCAGTCTCCCTAATCCCCGCAATGGGGTGAGCTCCTGTTGCTCGGTCCCTGCTTCTGCCAACCTGGCAGTTCAAAAGCACGTCAAAGTGCAAGTAGATAAATAGGTACCGCTCTGGCGGGAAGGTAAACGGCGTTTCCGTGTGCTGCTCTGGTTCGCCAGAAGCAGCTTAGTCATGCTGGCCACATGAGCTCCCTCGGCCCCTAAAGCTAGAGTCGGTCACGACTGGACCTAATGATCAGGGGTCCCTTTACCTTTAGCCATGATTAAAACTTGTTGGCTTGCTACCAAACAAAGAATTCAGAGAGAAAATATGAATGTGTGTCGGTGGGGGAGTACTGTCCCTATTTGTTGTTGCTTCTGATGCTGGATTCTTGCCATTTTTTCATTTGCTGTTTCCTAATCTTGAACTAAATAAAATATACCCCCTTCCCCCTCAGTGTCCCGAGTATACAGGTCAGGGTGGTGATTATATCACTCCAACGCAGGTGTTGGCTTTCCAGATTTGGAACTCAGTACATAAACAGCAGTCCAAGAGCATGGGACACTTCCACCTGGATACATACTTTTTTTTAACAAAAGAAAGTTTGCTTGGAAGCACTCTTACTTGTGCAGAGCTCAGGCACAAACCTGTCAGACTAGTATGCACAAGGCAAACCATCTCCGCGTCACCCAGATAACATTCCTGGTCTTTGCAGGAGATTGTATATCCCTGGAAATGCATAAATATTGCAAAATGCTGGAAGGGAGCACTGCAATCCTTCATGAAAGAAGCAGTATGTATTTAGTAATTCAAAGCAAGTGTCAAAATCAAAACACACACATAGAATTTGGTATAGAATTCAACATCCTAAGTATGGCAGGGTTCCACAAAAACACTTTTTTCCAAAATCGGCATTGATTATCTGTAAGGGAGAGACATATATGGTATATTTCTTTGGCAATGCACAAGCTACAGAGGAAGATGGAATCCAGCCCAGGTAGGGAAAACCAGTGGCCTGAAGAGTTGATCTCTGTTGAATTTGATAGTGCTGAACAAGCTGGACCAAAGCTTTTTGACACCTTTGTCTTAATTTTAGTTACTGTTTTTCTCCTTCATCCATTCTCAATACAAGCAGGTTTTACAGAGCATCCTCAGTCTGTGGCTTCTTTCCCTCCAGGGCAGAGGAAATGATTGTTGCTCTAAGTGTTTAACCCCAGAAAAGAACAAGACCAGCAGTCTACGACTTTTTTACATTGCTATACTAGCTATACTGGCAGGTAAAATACCCAGGAATCAATACTTTGTAGCTTG